TCCAAACCAGGAGAGCATCTGAGCGGCCATAGAACCATAGAGATTTTGAGGTCCGCACATTTTACTTTCGGGGCCTGGAAAAGTTGCATGAAGATGCATGAAGTTGGTTCAAAGCCGGCACCCATGGAAGTATAAAAAGTTTCGAGTTATGTTGGGCCTCGTGAGGATACAAGGCAGCAACGTTGAACACGAAGGTGTAGCTTGCTCCTGTAAGGAGTGAAGTGTCTGCAACAAAATGCAGCCTGGGTGCACTGCTTCAGGGCACTGTGGAACACACGAAACCGAAGTAACCGAAGCAAGACTCTTGGGATGGCCTTTCCAAAAACCCTCGTCAGGTGAGATCGTAATGTTAAAGTGCATCAGGTTGTTCTTGTCCGGAAAGCTGTCAGGGTCAGACTGCGTACAGGACATGTCTCCATTCCAACAATAATTTCGACCTGACGACTTGACTGTCCATCTATTTTACATCGCAATGCTGCGGCTAGGGTTCAGGCTCAATATGGCACTGCGGTGGCAGCTCCATTTCATCCAACTCCTGGACGTTGCAACACTTCCAGTATGAAATGTTTATTCTCTTGTATTATATTGTGCTATTGTACCCCTTGGTTGTTGTAATACTGGTTGCGGCAGAGCTTGACGTAGTGATAAAAAGTCAGTGGGCAACCGAAGGGAGTAATCAGCCGTGCCTTTTGCATTCGAATTTCGCCAGGCTGCTTTTTCTTTGCTGCCGGCGCCTTCTGCCCAGGGCCAGGCACCAACGACAAGTAATGACAAGTATCTATATATGAAGATCTATGAAGATCTTTAAAGCAGTGTCCCACTGCAGTGTAACGTGCAGTGCGGCTAGAAATAGTGAGCCGCTTTCCTCGGCATCGCCATCCTTGGACTCCTGCATGCATGCTGATCAAGAATACAAATTGCAACTAGTTCGGACATAAACGGACAATTTGATTGGGCCTCCAGGGCATGTCTCTTCAATGCATGAGGATGTTGGCTCACATTTGTGTCAGGCGAGTCTGGCAAATGTCATGATACTCTCTGCAAAAGTGGCTGCATATCTGACTGCAACAGAAAACAACAAGGACATACATGCAGCAATGTGAATTCAGGGATAGTCAGGACAGTCCTCAGCCCGCTTCCCTCGACCCACTCCAAATATCTTAATCATCCTTAGCGACAGACTTGGAGCCTGTCTTCATGGCACTTGGGGCAACTCACAGCCACTTTGATCTGAATCTTAGCATGTCCGTGAGTGTCCCAGTATGGGCCAGTCGTCTGTTTCTGGATTTGTCTGGCAGCTTGGCAATCCATAGGAAGTAAATAAAATGACTAAATCAGCAAAGAGTCTTCGGAGAGCCGACAGCGGCTTGCACTTCCTCCCTTGAGGACTAAATACTGAGCAACAACATGTGACAGCCACTGGGACAGCAGTGATTCGCTCTCAAGGTTCCAATCAAGGCCGTGAGTTTGCACACTTTCCAAAACTGCGTTCAGTTGCTTCAACCTTTGCATGTCGCCCAAGTTTTGCTCCGACAAAGAGCAGGACAGGTCTATGTTTGAGGGCCACTTCCTCTATCTGTTCTCCTCTTACTTGTTGACCTTTTTTAGTCGGTGGCCCACAAGCTGCTAAAATCAGGAGTCTGCTAATTTCCCTAACTAAAGTGACAACCATCACTTTCGGATGGCAAGGAATAGGACCGCAGTCCCAATTACTGAGATCGAAGAAACACTTTAATCTGGACTGGATATTTTTCGTGCGAGAATAAAATCGTCTCAGACATGGCAGTGCGAACTTGCTCAGCAGCATCCGCCAGGCCTACCAGGAATCCCAGCGATTCGCTTCCAAAAATTGTCACTGAAAACTGTCAACACCCTGTCAATCAACATCTTTTGCCTGCCACCACAGCAGCCATTGGTTCGCCTGCCACAGCTGGAACAATATATTTGTAAGAAAAACACACAGCATAAGGGAGAACCTTCCTGCGGTGCTCTGGCGTGTTGACGCGTTTGACAGTTTGGTACCAATGTATATAGTAATTTAGTATGAGTACGATGTTCTTCCAGCCAGGCTGTGTTCTGCTGTGCTTAATATGTTTAATCGGATGTTTCACTGCCTTTTCTTGAGCTCAATTTGCTCATTGATGCCCTCCAAGTCATAGCCTGCAAGGGGGCACCGATCCCCTAAGATCAGCAAGGACAATGCGAGGGCGAGGTTCCGGTCTTTGCATCGCTTTGCCATCCACTTAACTCCAAGAAAACATACGGTAATCTCTTGCAAATGATGTGAAACCAAACGATACTATAAGAATGGATGGTAATATCGCCGGGTCCCATTGGGCTAGCATCTTGGCATGAGCCAAGACAAAGATGTACAAGCTTTAAATGACCAAAACATGCTTTTTGAAAGGAAGTAACACGTATCTATGCACAAACATGTGTATATAATTATATATAATTATATATATACTGTATTATACTGTGTATATTTATAGAGAGAGAGAGATCCATCTGATCTGATTCCATCCGAGCCTTTTTCGTAGAGTTCTTTCTTAGTTGGATCTGTCAGCACTTCGTAGGCTTCACCAATCACCTTGAACCTTAAAGAGGAATCCGTTGGAGTGTCAGATAAACTGCAAGAGAAATTGCTGCATGCAGCACGTATATCCTCAGCACAAAGCAGAAGCGGAAAAAGGGTCTTACATAATATGAAAGCTAATCGGGCTGCAAACAGCAATGCAGACAAGCAATTCACTTAATGGGAAACCAATTTCAGAAAATCAATGTAAATCAGGAGGATCTCAGTATCTCAGGCAGCAGCATCTCTTCAGCATTTTTTCTTTGATCCTGGCAGCCGTGTCTTTGACAACTTGGAAAATCCACGCTGCATGGCCAGACTGCACCTCGTCCAGGTGAGATTTCTTGTCCGGGTGCCACTCGGCTGCGCGCTCTCTGTAAGCCTATCAAGCAAGGTGTTCATGATGTTTTTTGAATGTACGCATCTATGTATATGTTTCTTTATCTATACTATATATATGTGTGTGTAATATATTTTGTTTAAAAGAAATGAACATATACAGATGGTATGTGAATATGTGTATAGTGTATAGATTGTATGTGATATTGTTAGGTATGGCAATATAATGTTATATATCATGTCTTGCTGTTGTGTGTGTGTGTTGTTTGATGGCGTTTCGACCTGTTGCACTGGTTTGCAGGCAATGGTCCCACGCAAAACACACCCGTTTCTGGTGGCCTTTTTGATCTCCAGTTGGGATGCCACGGATGGCACTCCAAGAACTTCGTAGTAGTTCTTCCGCTTGTGCTTCCTCCAAAAATGATGATAACTGGTGATTTAACGAAAAAACGGTAGCTTGATAACCCAATTATTTGTGGTCATCGGGGATGGTTTGTCATTGGGACCACATTAAAGAACCACATTAAAGAAATATCATGAAATATCTAAAGAGCTTTCACTCTCTTGGTTGAATGCCGAAAGCCACACAGCTATGGCAGCTATGTCTGTCGGATAAAGGCGATCCAATCATGCAAGGTTCAAGCTCCTCAGCAAAAACTTTGCATCTTCAAACTTGTGATACACCTAGGTTTGCTCGATCATCACAATGACATCTGTTCTTAATCGTTCCAACTCGTGTGATCCAGGACTGTAGGTGCCCTGCACTTTCGTTTGGATGCCAAGAAAGGAGGGACTGGCAGGACATGAAGAGAATGTTGAAGCATGTCAGCAAATGTCGAAGCCCGACAAGGTATTCCAGATGCTAAGCTGGCATCATCCTTCACCAGGATTCTGTCTCCACGGATATTTCGCTTTCTTATGCGCACCTCAAGCTCTTTAACTGCATCCTCATGACGTTCAAGGGCCTGATGCAGGATGTTGTGTTGAAACGTGTTGAATGGATTTCAAAATACTCAAAAGATCTCAAGAGACTCAAGAGCTTGTTCACGCTTTTTCCAGGTTCTCCTCCTTACCAGCACAATTGACAAGGGACTATTGATTGAGGGCTTTAGAACAAATGGCACACTGAATTCACTGAATCCAGCGCCGGAATCGAAGTTTCCGAAGCCTGAAGAGCCTGAGCACGATAGAGGTACGGCTGCACAAGCCTCAGCTAAAGTGCGGGTGCCCAAGGCTGCTATGCTTGCTTCACTTTCTTAAATATGTTTTAATCATCTCCAGTCAGGTTCTACCACATCATCCACGTCTACTTAGGAATCGTAGCAAGGAGTAAAACTCCCAGACAGTACCATGTAGGTGGCTCCAGGTATTTTGTAAGGCTTCAGTGGTTCGATAGCCGTCAGAACGCATCATTTGGCACACACAACATGTCACAACAATGTTCCTCTTATGTTAGAAGAACTATGTTGTTCTTTGCTAAGCGGACAGATTCATGTGAGTCTTTCATTGCTTTTTCCCTCTGAGTGGCACAAATTGACCCGCAACATCACCTCTGCATTTAAGAATTGGACGAGTGGTTTCTGTAGGTAGCTTGACCGACGTCTTTCAGAACCTTCGACATGCATCCAAATGCAATGGATTCCCTGCCTACTCTGCCAATCTCAGCATCTGTTAACTTAACTTTGAGAAGTCGTTCCAGATACTTACAAGATTCTCAGTAGCTGGCGCCGCGCCAGTCTTTCAGTCGCATGCACGCTTTGGCACGTTCAGAATAGAGCGATGCCATCATGGCCTTGGCGTCCGGGAGAACTGCGACTCTTCAGTCCTTGCGACTCCACGAGCCAAGCTCTCCGAGCTCTCCAAGCTCTCCAAGCTCGCTGCAGGATTGTCTGGGCAGAGCTCCAGCATGCCTCACCAACATTTGAGCGACTTCCAATGTATCATCTCAGCAGAGTTCTGAAAAGTTTCTGGGGTGAAACAGATTGTCTGGGCTGCCAACTATCAATGACAGCTTGGCCCTTTTCAAATTCTCCTTTGTTTTGGCAAAGGCATTTCACACTGCAAAAATCTGCAAAAGTTGAAAAAATGTCAAGACTTTGAGAAAGTTTGCCAGTGAACAGTGACTATGTTCATCTATTCTCGTGAATCATCAAAGCTCAGAAGGAACATGCTGAAATGATGTTTGCAGCCGAGGCTCGGCTATCCATAAACTCCTTGAACAAATGACAAGGCAGGATATGACGGAAAGCGAGCCCAAAGAAGGTGGAGGATGCGTCTGAGTTCTTTGCAACAACCTGGATTAAAAACCTGAGTGAACTAAAGTCTATGCATGCCTGTTGTCAAAAAAAAATGTCATTTGCTCTTCTCTAGTCTACGGCGTGTTTTCAACAAGTGACATGAGATTTGCACAAATGGCATGATCCTGCATAAAAAGATTCGCTGCAAGATAGTCCTTCAATTCACCGTGCTTAGTGCAAAGGCCGCGAAGACGTTTGCGAAGAGCCTGACTCCGCTCGTCATGAGAAACACAATAAGCAGAAAGTTAAATGCCAGTGGTCATGTTATCAGTTATCCACTGTTTTCCCAGAACATCTCAAAATGAGCCGTGTTATGGATATATACATATGCATACTTATATATAATATATATATATATAATATATATATATATACATATTTATATATATATATACATATTTATATATATATAGATATACGTAGATTAATTGTATTTATTAGTGAGATTGAAATGCCTGCGCTTCTTGATGATCAGGGTCAAAGGACAAAGCCTCAAGGTGCCACTGTTGCAGCGGCCGCTCTGGTTAAGTAAAGTGCCATCGTGAATCGGAGATGGTCAGAGTGTATGATGAAATGCCATCTCCCTAAGCCAACTGAAATCCCAGGTCCAGACTTCCTTCAGTAGCCGTTGACCCTGCTCCAATGGCTCGACCTGCAAAGGTGGAGAGCAGTGCCGCAGCGAACCGATGAAGAACTTGATGTTTTGAAGAGTTCAAAACGTGGCAACTAAATGATCTAAATGCAAATCATTGCAAGTCCCTACAAGGCCATTCAGAATCGAGTTTCCTGTGCTAAAGGGTAGCCAAAGTGGTAGCCACACATTTAGACCTTTTGTATCCTTTTGTCACTAGTCGAAGAGAGGCTGACCCACTGCTTGGAGTCCGCTGCAGCATTGTGGTTCCGAAAGAGCGCCTGTCAGTATCACATCATTGTGTATATATGTTACAAATGTTGAAAACAGTTGAAAATTCGAAAATACTTCAGCGGAAGTGAGTCTCTTCAAACTGCGTAAATAATACACATCATGCAAAGATCTTCCGATGGCGTTGCTGGCATCCCCCTTTTTCATCCTTTTTCTGTCACTGCTATTGCGATCATAAGCTCTAGCTTCAGATGTATTCAATGCTCATTGCGCCCTTGCAAAGGCACTAGGGCTGCAAGAACTCGAGAAACCTCTATGTACAGTGAAGCTGCATCGCCTCACGTTTAGAGCAACACAGCAAACTCAAATCAGTCAGATTCATTCAAATTCTAAACTCAAATCATATTCCTGTCCTGGGCTTTTGATGCCCATGGCTCAGGCCTTGCTCAGGTGCCTTCTGAGCATATCTCCAACGAAAATGTGGTGGGTTCTTGTAGAAGTGTAGCATCGTTTCTGACGGATCTCTCTTGAAATCATGACCCCCAAACGAGGCCGGGTTGGAGATCCTGATGTTTACTTTGGCTGGTGCACGATAAACTCATATAAAATGTATAAAGTCGTTTGTCTGAAAGACATCAATACTCAAGTTTGGTTCGTGACGTGCAATCGCCAAGTAGACTTGGAAGGTAGAGACTTCACTGACAACTCCGGAGGCGAGTGCTGCTCATCTAGAGCAAATGTAGGACGTTGATGATCAAGAAAATCACCATGTTGCCACCTGAAGGTGCGCTTAAAGGTGCTGCGCGTGCACTGCATATACCCTCTCGGCTTAACACGAGTTAAGGGAAGTTTGTTCCTTCTGAAACTGCTGTACATGGCAACTTCTTCTGATCATTGAACTCAAAGGCAATTTAGGCCCGTGACTCACACATCCAATTTGCCCGTAGAATCCTCAGGACATGGAAGTGCAACAGTGAACCTAGTGAAGCTATGTACAAACACAAAAGGAGGTTGTGAATGCTAGGGATGTATCCAGCACTCACACTTACCAAAGCATCTACCGTGATCCTTTCAAAAAGTTCGGAACAAGGAAAATCAGAAGCACATGTCGGAGAGTCCCTGTCAAGTTTTGATTTGCCAAGCTTCCCATGGTTGCTTGGATAGTGTTCGGACACTTTCCCGCTTGTGCACGTTCATGGGCCTGGACAAACCTGGTTCAGATTTATTCAACGAAGAGATAGTCAAACGGAGCAGTACCAAAACTGAGTTTATGAAAGGAGCAGTGTCAGAAAAGGAAGAGTGCACAAGTGTAGCATGGAGCACCAAATGCACTGGCGTCTGGATCGGGCTGATTGTCCTATGACATGCTATGACTGTCTGAACAGCTGCTATGACTATCTATGACTTGCTCCAAGAGACAGTCCAGTTGACATAAGACCCACAGATAGGTTGAAGATCCCGACCTCAGCAGCTTTTCAGATGCAGTGCAGATGGGCAGTTGTGGCACGATCTGTGCTGCAGCTGAGCAACCGTAATGGGCAAGATCCAAAGTGCAGGCACAGCAGGAAGACTTCGGCTGAGGAGCTCTGGGCAAGCAGAACCTCGAACACTTCATGACAGTGGATACAGTATAATCAGTAGATTACAGTGGCACAAATTATCGACTGTAGTGAAAACTGTAGAGTGGGTGAAGAGTGTAAGGTTGCAAACCTGATTTATCTTTGTTGCAGTGGAACGAAGATGACGATAAAGCCCTTCTATAAACCCTGTGACAGAAAGCGACCATCCTGTCATCTGGGCAAAAGATAAACAACAGGGTGGTCAGTACCCCTGGGATGAGCTGAGTCTTGGCATGGCTTTCCTTTCCAAGCCATGGATTCATGAAAATTCTGTAAGCCAAGCAACAAATGCATAGAAAGGTAAAGGTAAAAGTCACCAAGCCAAAGCTCAAAGCCTCAAAGAGGGCTGATTGTGCTCGATGCTCCTTCCAAAAAGAGAGCAACTGTTGTGGAGGTTTGTCACGCTGAAGCCGGAAACCATGTAAATTCATATTTAAATTAGTAAATTTATGTAAATTTTAAGTAGTCATCAGTCATCCTATGTTTTCCAAAGGAGACAGTGTTGTGAAAACCATTGCTGCCCGACCACGAAGGAGTCTTGTTTACGAGCACTCGAGCATATGTGTTGCTCTGTGCATGCTACATGCAATTTTCCCCGCTAGGCGTCAAACTTCAATGATTCTAATGCCTTTCATTTGATTTCAAAAGGGAAGCCTAAAGGAAAGTCGTTGACGCACCAGCTCCAAGAGGATGGAAGAATTCACATCAAAGATGTGCCCCTTGAATTCTGCCAATTTTGAATTCGTGGTTTTTGTTGCGAAATTATCCCTTTGGATCCCAACTTGCACATGGTGTCTATCTGGGGTGGGGAATCGGGGATTGAAGAACAAGCTGCCCAGTTTTGGCTATGCCTAGTTGATCTGAGAAGGAAACAAGCTCTCATTTAAAGGGTGAAGCTTCTCAACTGAGAATTAAGGGAAAAGAAACAACATAAACGATCATTAAGGTGCAAGTCTACAGTTGATTGATTCGCAGGGGGAAGAATACTGCTAGCTTTGTCTTGCCACACCCAATCCATTAAGGCAAGTGCCAAGCCAGCGGTGTGGGGCTTGTACCATTGACATAGCATTCGTCCAAGAACATTCCCCAGGTTGTACCTCACGGTGAAATATGGCGCAGAGTTATGTAAAGTTGTGCTTACACAATTCCGCAAGGTCAACTGGGTAGGAAACTGCATACGGAACTGCATACGGATCATACAAACTCAACATGTCGGGGGGGCCCAAACCACAACACATAGTGAAACTTTGCAGAGCCAGGGGGCATCGTGTTCATGCGCTCGTACAACCTCAGGCGTGGAAGCACAATTGACAGGAAAAACATGAGAAAGGGGACAAGGATGGACAAGGGTAAACATCAAGAGGAAACAGGATGAAATTGGGATGTCTCTTGGCGGCACCAATGGTAAAACTACGTAAACCTGTTCCCAGTTTGCTGCTGAGGCAAGGAACAGTTGCTCTTGCCTTGTGTAGGGGCTTGCAATGAACGGCAGAAGCGATGGCACTGTGTAGCACATGGCCCTGCGCCGTAGCAGAAAAGAGCAATACGCTGCAATTCTTTATACAGACGCAATGCCCTGATCTCTCATATTCCCTGAAGCCCAAGCAAAATTCAAACGCTGCTACCCGATCCTTGACACAAAAGAGCTTGAGGTGTAGAAGGTGACTATATTGCGTCCCTTAGATGATCAAACAATCAAGTCGTAACGACAGTCAAAGACTTTTAGTTCCCCACCTGCCAGGTGAGGGTTGTTAGATTTTATGTCAGTTGCCTCCTCCTCCTGCTCCTCCTCCGCCTCCTCCTGCCTCGTCCTCCTCTCCTCCTCCTCTTCGTCCTCCTTGTCATCCTTGTCGTCCTTGTCGTCCTCGTCGTCCTCGTCGTCCTGGCTCAACTGCGACCCGCGATCCACAGTGTTCTCTGCCGGACCTCAACCACGACCACCCACGCCCAGTGTTCCCTGCCGGACCTCAACCACGACCATCCACGCCCAGTGTTCCCTGCCGGACCTCAACCACGACCATCCACGCCCAGTGTTCCCTGCCGGACCTCAACCACGACCATCCGCGCCCAGTGTTCCCTGCCGGACCTCAACCACGACCATCCGCGCCCAGTGTTCCCTGCCGGACCTCAACCGCGAGTATCCATGCCAACTGTTCCCTGACATATCTTCTGACATTTTATTTGGCATTCTATCTGGCATATCTTCTGGCATATCTTCTGGCATTCTATCTGGCAAATCTTCTGGCATTCTATCTGGCATTCTATCTGGCATATCTTCTGGCATTCTATATGGCAGATCTTCTGGCATTTGGCATTATATCTGGCATATCTTCTGGCATTCTATCTGGCATACCTTCTGGCATTCTATCTGGCATTCTATCTGGCATTCTATCTGGCATTCTATCTGGCATTCTATCTGGCATATCTTCTGGAATATCTTCTGGCATATCTATCTGGCATATCTTCTGGAATATCTTCTGCCATATCTATCTGGCATATCTTGTGGCATATGTTCTGGCATTCTACCTGGCAAATCTTTCCCTGCCGGACCTCATGTAGGAAGATATGGGACAAAGAATGTGCAGAAGAAAGTTAGAAAGAATTTCAGACAAGTATGTGATATATTACTTGCGAACTTGCAGGTGTGTGGTAGTGTGATCGGGGCAATGCCACTATTGACTTTGCGGGTGGCAAAGTTTGAAGCAATCAGTTTGAACAGATGACAGAGTCACTGGGGTGGACAGAGACATTTCCATTTCTGTACCTTTGGAGCTGTTTGCAAAGACGCTTGAGACAGGCAACATCTTACAGCAAGTTACTACAAATTACTTGAAGGGATCTCATGCTGGATTGATGCTTGAGACAGTCAACATCACATAGAGTTTCTATTGTGTATCACAGCTATGGTAGCATGGTGGATATGTGACATCGGAACATTTGCTGGAGCATTTGCGCCCTCATCTACTCGATCGCGGGCCAGAGGCAGGATGGACATCATCATAGAAGCATTCAGCAGGAGGAGGTTATGTGATCAGTAGTGTCTTCTTGCGTGTTTTTGTTTGCTTGGCAGGTGATGGCAGAGGGTGACCAATCTGCGAGTGCTGCGCAGGCGAGGAGTTTGAGTGGAAGTAAGCACATTGGCCAGTAAGTGTTGGATAAGTGATTTGGAAAGCAGCTTGTGCTTTGGGACCTTGCGCAACAGCCGAGGCGAGCTCAAGCACAAGCAGAAACGTGAATAAGATAATGGTGCTCAAAGGATAGGGAGATGAAACGCTTGAGAATAGAAATGTAGTAGGTGTATCTCTTCGAAATGTTTCAGTGAGAAAGAGTGGAGAAGTTACATACGATCTAGATATTTAGATGTCGCTTGACACTGCAAGATGGACACTATCTTTTTGCACTTGGGAAGTTTGAACACATTGGGACTGAACTGGTTTTGACCGGGAAGGTCTTGTGTTTCAAGAGCCATGGCAAAGAGATCATGGCCATTTGCTGTCACGAGTTGGGATGACACTGTGAAATTTGCGCAGCTTTTGTTTGGTGTAGACGTTGTCTATGAGAACTATGCAGAGAGATTGCCGCATAGATCGAATAAATCTTTCTTGCTATTCGCCAAAGGCGCTTGTGCTGAGGGAAGGCCCTTCTTCGAGATCGGAGATCTCATTGCGCCACAGTTGGAAGAGATTCAATGTTGGGAACAAAATGTTCGCAACAACAATGCGCGTCCAACGAAATCGCAGCAGATGCTGAATTCTGACGGATGGACTGTGTACTGCTGGAGTGCGCCGGTGACGCGTGCTCCCTGTCTGTGTCGCAGCAGCTTTGGAGCAGACGCTCACCAGAAACATGTGCCAACTTCATCGGCCATGTGGCAAGCTGGAAGCAGATTTGAGAAATTATGGGACGCCACATTGATGAAGAACTATGAAGCTTTTCAAGACCTGGATGTGCCGTTATTTTGTTTGCAAGCTGCTGACCAAAGGCATTCCAGAAAAAATAAAACCATAGACAAGCAGCTGACGCATCAGCTGCTCACTGTTCCAAACCCGCATCGCACTGGCAAATTGCAAGGCATGCTACTGGTGCACGAGAACATGGTTGTGCGACTGGCGGATGTCTTGGCTCCACACCTTGGATTGGTTAAAGACAAACTGGCAGTGGTAGTGAAAGTGGATTTGCACCATGAAGATCAGAAGCGCCTGGACCGTCGTGAACCTGGATTCTGTCATTTTTTTCCGGACTACATGGCCAAAGGTATCTGGGTGAAATTACTTAAAGGAAAGAATTCGCCCATGGAAGATGCTCTGTTGCAGACGTGGGAAGAAAAGTTTCAGAATGTGGCCGATCACACAACTGACGCAAAGACATTGTTCTTTGTGGAATTGGTGCATGCAGAGTTCAAAATTGATTTGAAACTAGGCGAGGAAACGGAGAAAATTGAAGTGATTCGCTGGCAGTTCCCGCTTTTGCATGGCATGCTGCGCACTGCTTACAGCGCGCAAGGCTTGACTTTGGACGGAGGTGTGCTGGTTGATTTGCGTCGTGGTGGTGGCCTAGAGGATGCGGACTGGTGGCTAGCCATCTATGTCATGCTGACGCGTGCCCGCAAACTGAAGAATCTCATCTTGCTGGGGTTCACGGAGCAAGTGGAGGAGCTTTTACGCAAAGGCCCTCCTACCTACTTGCGAGAACTGACTGACAAGTTGGAAGCCAAAGCTGCTTCGACGCTGGAGCGGCTGCAGTCCTGGCCTGTCTATGATGCATTGCAAGCATCCTGACACAGTGCTCTGCCAGTGGGACCTAATCGGTTTTGATTGAAGAGGTCTGGTGGAGAAATAGAGAGTTGCAGCTGCAGCGATCTGATGAAGTAACACTGGCATGGTTTTGTCGAGTTTACACGTGAGCTTGCGAGCCTTTGACTTTGGTTCATGGTCCACTGGCTTGGTTCAGTCATGTTTGTACAAACATGTTTGACAGGCGGTGTGCTGACATGTTTGGGCATGTTTGTTTGTTTGGCTCAGGTGGTCCACTGCCCTGTTTGGTCATGTTTAAACAAACCTGTTGAGAGCTCTGGAGTTTACTTCACATGGTCCACTGACATGTTTATATCCTGTTTGACAGTCAAATAATTGGGATAGTTAGTTGGGCAAAGATATGTCAGAATGACCTGCACAATGACCTGCCAGGTGAAACAAATGATTGGGATAGTTAGTTGGGCAAAAGTCCCGTGACAAAAGCTTCAGACAAAAGTGCTGTCAACAAGCTGTTTTGAAATGTCATGGTGGGGATCACTCGAAGTAAAGTAATTTTTCTAACAACACCATGCTATCAAGCGGCATCTCTGCAGTGGTCCGTACCGCCGCGCAAGGCGTTGTAGAACCTGACCGTCTTCAGTGTTGGTTGCAAGGAAAGCTGGTAACGTTTAGTCCATTTTAGTCCTCACCTTCCAGCCATTCTTGACACACTGCTAGAACTTTCTTCTTCACCGGAGCTTGGGTCGGTCTCCTGCAAGTAGGAAAGCAAGTGACTACTATCACTATGAGCCGCAATCGACGCAATCGGTTTAATCCGCTAAAAATGGTAGCCTCTAAGTCTTAGGATGCTTGGCCGTCCTCTGCACTGGTAGTGGCACATGGTGTCTTCAAGACAGTCGGAGAACCTGCGAAATTTCACGCTGTTACAGCTTAATGATAATGGGAGCAATAGGGTCTGGAAAGCGAGGCAGTGCAAGCCTGGATTCTCAGAGAAGTTGCAGCCATCACATCCGGCACAATTGCATTTGGCCTGCTTGATCAGGCTTGAAGGACTCAATATGTTTTCCATATAGTTGCCCAGATTCTTCCGAGGGAGAATAGCAGAGACATAAACTGTGTCAAGCCATCCATTCAGTACATTCCAGTGACATTTTGGACGGTACAAAATGGTGCAAAATGACGATTTTGCGCTAATGTCGCAAGGAAAATCCCACCTTCTCTCCAAAGGGAAGCAAATTTGTTGGCGTTGGCCCTGCTACATCCTTTACGCTGATGGCCTTCCACAACAAAATCTGCCTTTGTGGTCAAACAAATGAAGCAACACGTCGGTTGGTCCAAACTGCAGAAAACTTGAGAATCTGGAGAAACTGACTATATAACTATGATTGGAGATCAAACATGATCAAACCCTGCATGCAAGACCAGACTCACAATCTGCTGTAAGCTAGCTTCAAATAGCTTCAAACATCTACAGGCAAGGTGCAGAAGGACCACGATCACAAGGAACCATATGATGCCAAATTCGGCCAAGTATGCCTGGCAAGCACTATGGAGCATGGCCCAAACACTTCCCAACATGTATGAGTCTGTAAGACAGTACCAGTTGTTCCAGTGAAAGTCTCACTGTCAGCACGTTGCTAGACAGGTGAGAAATCTAGTGCCCCGCCTCAATGATGTTTGGAACAACTCCACTGACAGAGCCCCCAATTTGGATCGCCTGTGAGCCCGGATATTAAAACATAGTTCTATGAAGTTCTATGCTTACAAGAAGAGCGGCAACAGCAGGAACATGTTTGCGCCAAGATAAACTCAGCAATTTCAGATTCAGCCAAGAGTCCGCTGCATAGCGGCTAGGATGCCTGCACAGGCGTATCTGATCATTGCGACAGGCCCTTGATCCAGCCAAAGGTAGTAGCTGTCCAGCTTGTCCTAGTCCCAACTTCACGAGTCAAAGCAAGGTGCTGAAGTGCGATTGGCCACACGGTCAAGTCCTTGGTCTTTGGGCAGAATTGAAGTACCCACACGCACGACGCATGACATGTTAGCATCATGTTTCAGGGCCCAAGATTCCGCCACATTGCCAACTGCACCTGACAGATGCGGTCCACTGCCACAACATACTCCAACAAATCATGACAGCAAAGTCACTGCAAAGCCACTGCACAGCCACTGCAAAGCCACTGATTGCCAACGCCTTACCAAGGCAGCATCCAGGTAATCTAGTGGACACTCATTTCCCATTGCCTGCAAGAGCCGCAAGAACCACTAGCTCAATGGTCTGCTCATCCCACATCCACCTTAGCACGAAGGCAGTCGAAGTCAGACAGTTGTGAAGCTCAGCACACTTGGAGTACAACTCGGAACTCCGATTGACTCGAACATATTCAAAGAACATCAAAGAACCTTTTCTCGATGACATTCTCCTTTTCGCCACGTCCATCATGCTCATGCTGTATAACTCAAGAGATCACAGACAGAGTGCCAAATCATGCGCATCCTTCTGAATGGATCTGAATGGCATTCATGTGCTATTCTGTTCTGCCCCAATTCTTCAACCGTTCCTGCATCATTCGCGGCTGCTTAGCGCATTACACAATTATCGTGCGATTCTGAGGGAGCTTACACAATTTCTGATTGCTGAGTTGGGTGGTGCAGTCCTCAGCAAAACGCAACTAGGATCTGCTATGGCATGCTACCCCCGAGAAGGATGGATGACATAAGAGAGTATAAGAGCTTAGACTTTCACAGCCTGCACAGCCATCTCCATGCTGTCCAGCTGCAAAAAGATGAAGAGCACCAGAGCAGCGACTGCAGCGAGTTGCCCAATGTGGACATTTTCAGCAGCATGAGCTGCTGCCTTCAGGTTGCCAATACTGGCAGCTGGTTGGATGAGTTGTGCTTAGTTGTGATGAGTTGTGATGAGTTGTGATGAGTTGGAAGTGCACTAAGTGCTCCAGTTGCCAAACAGGCTGTTCATATCTGTTCATCCAGTTGGTTCATGGCTGTTCCATATTCCAAACCGTTCCAGTTGCCATGTCTTGCCATGACTTGCTGGTTTCGCTGCCTTCTTCCGCTGCTGCTCCTCCTTGAAGAGTCGTCGTTTTTCGTTCATTTCCCTGGGCACCATATGCAGATGGAGTAACTACTTGGATTGGAGAGTTCATTATTCTCTGATTCAATTTCAATGCTTATATCTTCACTTGATTCTAAAAGAATCTAGCTGGGTTCTCTCTGACATTTGCTGACCATGCGAACTCAATGTTCTCTAAATGCTTACTGTGGCTGCTTAGATCCTTAAGAAGACAGCTGAAAGGCCAAACAATGTCAATCGAGAAGCTCCATTGATCGAGCCACGCTTGCCTTGGTGGGACAAAGTCGAGACAAATGAGGGCAGCATGGTTCAAAAAAACGAAGCCCGTAAAACTATCACTTGATTTGCATGTTGATGGACCATGCACCAGCACATTGCACGTGATCCAAACAGTTGTGTAGATGCCGTGTAGATGTAGTATATTAATATACCAGCAAGATAATGATAATGCTTAGTGGCTTAGTCCCTGAGCTTCTAAGCATCATCTTGCGGTCCGTCAAAGTGGACCGGCTGAAAGAACACTCCCAACATATCACTCCAGCGGCAGAAGATTGCTGCAAAGGTGCTCTCTCCTCCAAACTCTTGTTGTACTCCACCACATGAAAAATGATCGCATAAACCTCGGTTTCTGAGCTTCTCTTCACAAGAGAAATGAGAGACATTGAGGGACTATGAGATCTATGAGGGACTACTGGTACTACTTAAGTTGCTTAAAGTTGCTTAAGTCGCAGACAGCTCCAATCTGCGTACTCGCATTGACAAGGCTGGCTGTCCTTGCGCCCTCTGGTAGTTTCTGCACAAACATCGGCAGCCTCGAGGTGCCGCAAGCATTCTGCCGATTCTGCCCGGCCCGGTGTCTACTTTTTGCGCTTTGAAAAGAATAATGCCAATGGGCCATAGGTATCCATAGGTGCTGTTTGTTGCCTGCCTCTGGAGTTGATTACATCATTGTTTGTTCTCAGGAAATGGCGAGGCGAACACGGAATTGGATGCAAACCAGCCGCTGACCTTGCAAGTTAAAGAACTTCTGCACATTTACATGATTGTTCACAAATGCTACTGATGAAAAAGGCTGATGCTGAGGATGGAACACCAAGGGCAAGAAATCGAAACCATCTGATCAGCGACGTGGAGTCATCCTGTTTCAAGGTACGCTGATAATGACAATTATGAAAATACTGATAGCATGAAAGTGTGCCTTACCAGTCTTACCATCCCAGCGCACAAGAACTAACTTGCTGTGTCACGCAGTCCTTGACCTTCAACTTCTGCTCTCGCTGATTGTCGCTCAGAAGCGATTGCGATTTCGCGCTGTACAGAGTGACACTGGGTCCTGGCCGTCTAGAAAAAAACTGTGATAGTATGATAGAATGTGCAGTTAATGCTTCTGATGGCTGTGTAATTAGCTTGAAACAACTCTTTAAGACCATGAGAGCAGCAATAGAAATGTGCATCGGAGCCGGACGCACTTTTTGTAAACGTTGGCCATGAGTGTGACTCACTCAGCTAGCTAGGATCACTTTTGAAGTGTCCCACTCTGGCTGAGTCAAACATGTGCTTCCCTCCCCTTTTGAGTTAGGAGAGGGCGGGTGGGGATTTCAAAATCACACCCTTGAGCCAAAATGGCCCCAGGCCAAGCTGGTTCAAGGGTTTCCCTCCCACAAACACCCCTCTCATGTCATTTAGTTGTTACAACAACAGCTTCACTGTTTCACCCAACAACTCTTTAAGACCATGAGGGCAGCAATAGAAATGTGCATCGGAGCCGGACGCACTTTTTGTAAACGTTGGCCATGAGTGTGACTCACTCAGCTAGCTAGGATCACTTTTGAAGTGTCCCACTCTGGCTGAGTCAAACATGTGCTTGATTGAGTCCATGATGCCAACTTGGTCCATTCTGCGTTCGAGCGCATTATGACTCCGATGAAGATGATGAAGAGGTAGAGGGCTCATCATCCAATTTCTGTTGCTTGGGCTTAAAACATTTATTGCATTCTGGCTTGTCTGGGTCCGCTTGACTTGCAAGTGCATAGTCTGCGTGGCCACGTGCAAAATACCAGTTGCATTGGGTGCGCCATAGGTAGTGAGGACGCGTTGGTCCACTACAGGCTACCTTGTGGATCTTGCCGTAGGCAGATCTGTTAATCACAAACTCCACTGAAGCTGGCTGCTCCGATGGCGGAGCAATATCCACTGCAGCCTCGCAGTCCGCAAGGCAGCCCACGGACTGGTTCCGTAAGGAAACTGCTGCGGCTGGCGGGGAACAATTTTGCGCCTGGCTGAGGATCGCAGAAAGTTCCGCCCGGGCTGCTGCTAAAGAAGTTGTGAGAGAAGCTTCTTTTGCCAAGGAATGTAGCTGCTGAAGTGGAGCGTCGCGGATATATATCCTGAAGCACTCCGAACCCCAGCGCCCAAATAGCTGGATCCTCCAGAGTTCGATCTGGGTCTGTGCCAGGTACACTGCGCCAGTTGCCCGGGCGCTGTGTCCGGTGAATCTCCTTGCCCCAGTGTCTGTGTGAGTAGGAAGATTCAGCTGCTGTGCCATGCATTGCATGGTGTCGGCCCATCCGCATTTGGATGACTGCTCACCTGTGGCTGATGGGAAAACCCAGCGATCGCTGATAGCTCCCACTGCCTCTAGGTGCTCCACCATGGCATGGTATGGACACTCTGGCTGCCGGGCATTCTGTTCGCAATTACAAGAATGCGTTCGAGTTGCGCCCAGGGCTTGCCAATCCGCCTTACTGGATGGAAGCTTCCAGTGGATAAGTCTTTGGACCTTGTCGATTTCGATGTGCGACCTCTCTGCCGAGCTTGCCTCGATTTCACGAAGGAGCCACCATGATGCCAACATGACCGACCTCATCGGGAAAATTGGTCCTCCAGGAGCTGCTGGGTCCTTGTGAACTTTCAGCTTCGCTAGCTCGATCATCGGCAAAGGTTGCGCCTGTTTGGCTGGCCCTCGGCCCCTTTGGCACGCCCTTCTGGCTTGCCTAGAGGCCTGGGCAAGCTGTGCTGTCCAATCAAGTCCTCTCTCAATGTGTATCTGCTTGGCTGTATCCATGTACAGCTCTGCTGATCTATAGCCGGCCATGTCCATCGCTCCCATCACCGTGTTGATGAGGTCCGGGGACAGACGGAACGGGTCTGAGAAACCCGCCGCCCTGGCCAAGGCAGACCACGTTGATTTCCTTGACTCGTAGGGGCCTCTGGATGTATCTGCCTTTGCTCTCTTTGTGATGTGTTCTGCACACTTTTCCGGACCTGTGGATGCGTGCCTTATGGCGTCGTTTAGCGAGCCCCTAGCGTAAGCCTTGACACCTGGCTGTGCCAATGGTGCGGCTGCTTCGGGATGCCCGGGGTCGACGGCCCCATAGACGGGCCCCTCCTGCAATGGGCGTAGCCCTGCAGAATGGGTGGCTGGTTTTGCCTGGGGTATTCCCTGGCCCAGCCAAAACCGTGGACCTAGACTACGCTTCATTTCGAGCCCAAAACTCATATGTTACCTACCCAAGAAAACATGCAGTGCACAGCCTCAGTTCTTATGTGAAAACCTATGCCCCCCAAACCACTTTTCCCCCTTTGAAAGATCTGGCGTTACCCTTTGGTAAATGTCAAAACGAAGAATCCACTTGGATGGGTATGCGTGATGCAGCCCCCAGGTCTTCGTGCGGAAAACATGGTGGGGTAGGTTCAAACTGCCGGCTCAATGCATCTGCTACTTTATTGAGTTTGGTGTTCAGATGTTGAAGGATTGTGAACTCGTATATTCCCTTCGCCTGATCTAAAGCTATTTCTCTGGCGACCATAGCCATCCCTGGCGACTTGGCCTTGCCTTTTGCTAACATGTGGAGGGCCGATATGTTGTCCGACTTGACACGAAGGATGGACCCAAGTGGAAACCTTATCAGCCAAGTCCTTGCGGCTAGTAAGAGGCACAGGGATTCCCAAAGCGCCATGTGGCTGGGGTCCCCTGGTTGGGCACCAGTACGAACGATGAACTCTTGGGGTATGATTGTGCTGAAGAACTCGACTGGTCTGTCCCCAACTATCATAATAGCCCCCAAGCCTCTGGTTGATGCGTCCGTAATAATAATGCATTTTGTCTGTTGTCTGAATGCCCTCACTACCCTGGTGAACGGAGCTGCCTTTTCTCCCAGCAAGGCGTCTATCCACTGTAAGGCTATCCCAATGCGGCGCACATGGACAACATTTCTGGTCTGCTTCGGACCGTCATTCGTTGCCAGTGCAGCCCACAGGGAATTCAAGAAAGGTCTCATGAGAGGGACCAATCCCGCCACGAAGGACAACGCGCCTGCTAGACTTTGTAGCTGTCTTCGTCCAATGACCGGCCTCCTCAGGTAGGTCTGGACTTTTGATTTCAGCTCAGCAACTTTGTCTTCAGGTATAGTTACAGATATGGTGTGGTTATCATGATCTGCTTTTATAACGGCTCCTATCCACTTCACCTCTGTTCCTGAATCAGACTTTTCCAGTTTGAGTGGGTACCCGGCTATTTGTGACCAGAGCAGGGAGATCCCCACCCTTTCCTTGTGATAGGGGTCCGTGCAGTCAAACGTGAATAACGGGTCGTCCACATACGTTTGCAGTCTGATGTCAGGGTTGATAGAGGCAAGGGACCTTCCAAACCACGCTGCATATCTGCCCCATAAAGTTGGAGATGAAACTGAACCGAAAACCAGGACATCATAAACCACAATTTTCAGTGTGCCAGTTTTGTCCCTGAATGCAGCTGAAGTGAAGGCTCTGTCTTTACCCGATGGAATGTTGTGGAAGGCATCGCGGATGTCCACTGCTAGAAACGCTGGCTTCCCCCCTTTTCGGAAAATTTCCAAAGCGTCCTCAATGGCGTCGGTGACCCTCGGCAGTAACACCCTTTCGCCTTGGGAGCATAGCTTGTTTGTGCCGCTCTCCCTCATGTCCCAAATAATCCGTGCTTTCCTAATCACTCCCTCAGGTGTTTGTTTCTCCTTGACCAACAGACCCAGTTTGTTTAATACGGGTTTTATTCCGATTTCCCTTTCCGCAGCAGCCATGTTGGGGTAGAATGAACAGAAACCTTTTGATGCAGCCTCATCAATAAGTTTGTGTAGATCTTCTTCCCACTCGACGGCTGATGGATGGTTATCCCAGTTTTCGAATGACCTTTGTAATTTTTCTGCTGCCTCAGCTTCCCATTCAACCTCCTTAACCACGGGGAATATGCCCGTACAAGGAATGGGTTCGGTGAAGCCTAGGGGAGCGCCCGACCTCAACCACTGCGCCAGCACCGGGGAATCTGGGTCCCCACTTATTCTTCCCCAAGCATCAAAAATCTGAGGTTGGAGTGGTGTGCATGCTTTTGCAGTACTAGGTTGAATGGTTCCTGGGGACAACGAACATACCAGTTGCCTAAGCTTGTCAATAAGCTGAGCTGAAATCGGAGCTGCATGTCCACCCGTTAAAATTTGGTCGACTAGCGATTTGACAGAGGGGTGAGATGTTGCTTGCTTGAGAAGCTTGAAGACGGCCCTGCCCGCCATGTCGGATTTTGGGATCCTCCTGATGGACTTTAGCGGGTTGCGCATCCCCCCAATGGCTTCGGCATTCTCAATCTCCCTCTGTCTCATCGCTTGGTCCTCTAAGACTGGTCCTGTCGGTCCGGCACTCACGCCTCACTTCGCTGCCTTCCTGAGACTCCCCTCGCGATGCTTCATCACTCGGGGAAGGTCCGCCTTCTCCATCGCCTCTGCCAAGGCCTTGTTCAAGGCTGGCGGGTACTCACTCAAAGCTTTGGATGCTCGCTCCTTTTCTCCTCTGACTGTCCTCCACCTCTGGACCAAGGACTCATGTGGTGAAACGTAGGTCTCTCCGTTTGGTCTGGTCCATTCCTTCGGAGGATGGTTGCACCTCCTCCCCTTGATTTGTCCAAGGGGAAGGGAGTCCGTCTGAATCCTTGTGGGCTTCGTTGTTTCTGCTCCAAATTGGCATTGGTCGAACAACGCCTTTTCCACCAGCGCGTGACCAGTCATCTCTTTGAACCAGCTCGTTTTCCACATGTCGAGTTTCTCCTTGTGGTCTGGATTTTCTATCCAGTAGGCCGCTCTGATGCGCCTCACTTCTCTCGTCACGTGTGTGGAAAATTCGATGAGATGATTTGCCTCCTTGAGCTGTTTTCTCTCCTCCGAGGAAAGGCTTTTGAGAGGCAGCCCATCCGGATGTTGTAGGGACCTGAGTGGTCTCGGGCCCGGCGGATTCTCCCTCAGTGGGGACACCGTTTCGCAAGGTGTAGCCATGCCCACTACGTCGAAGACACCAGCCCTGATATCCGCGAAGATCTTGCGACACACCTCCGTGTCCAGAAGGTCTGCCGCAGTCGGCCCCTGCTTGTCGACCACCACCACTATCCATCCCATGTGATGAAGATAGGAGGTAAGGTCTCCATCCCTCGGGCGCCCTGAGAAGAGCAGGAGGGCCCTGGGCCTGTCGTCCCACAGCTGCGGGTCCAGGTTGGTGGCCCCATACTTGTAGTCCACGTACAGCGGCATTGATGGGATCTTCTCTCTCCCTGTTTGTACCGTAGTGGATGATGATGTGGACGATGAGCTGGAGTCACTTGAACTTCCGGGTTCTTCCTCCTCTCTTGGGCTTGGTGCCTTCCGGTCTCTGTCTTGCCTCGGCCTCTTGTGGTGTGAAGCGACCTCATTCTCTGGGCTCGCCATTTTCGGGGCAGCTTCTGACCTGGGTCTCTTCACCGCCGGCCGATGAGTGCCTCCAGGGGACCTGGAAGGGGAAACTGGGCGATCCCTCCTGTCCCTGACTGGAACGGCCTCATGTGGCCTCTTCCTTCGTGGAAGCGGTGGCCGCGTGTCTTTTGGCTGGGCCTCTCTGTTTGGAGTCAGCTTGATCCCTAACTTTCAGTTGGGCCCCTTGCAGTCTTTGGCCATGTGGGGGCCTAGACACTTGTCACATTGATGTGAACGATTGTTCTCACATCGTGACTGCGGCTTCCCGTTTCCTCAGGCGCCTCTGTTGTACTTCTGGCAGATCTGGATCCCTTTTCGGTTCAAGGAGTACCTTGACTGTTCTGCGTCCCAACGTGATCTGTCCTCACCTGTGTACTTGCGCTTGGCCTTCTTCTTCTGCGTGCCTTCTGGCTGCCGAGACTTGCGCTTCTGTGGGCGACCCTCTTGAGAGCTGCTCTCGTCAGGTGCCAGCTGTTTGTTGCGGGCCAGAAGGAGCGTGGCTGGCGTCGCCACTTCTTTGGACCAAAAGTCCGACTCCCTGACCGTTGCCGCAAAGACTGAGCTCCATGGAGAGGCCCTAGTGTACCCATACTTTGGGTCCTCATCCAGGGCTCTGCGGATCCGCTCTTGGAACTCACTTCTCATCCTGACGTCGGCACGGTATATGATGCCCCATGCTTCCTGTCCAAACTGCGCATGGAGGTCCTTTATGTGTTCTAGGTAGCCCTCCAGTCTCTCGGCATCTGCAGCCTCCAACAAGAGCATAGCCACCTTGTAGGTCTTGAAGCTCTTCTCCCATTGCTGGAGAGTGGCCGGACCTGGGCTCTCTTTCTTCGACCACTCCCCAGTCGCCGCATTCAGGGTGTAGGAAGAGAACACACTCCTGCGCAGCGACCGGATGGCGTGTGGCCCGAAGATTGACATGTCTATGTACGGCAGAGCTCCGCTGGTAAGGAGCTGTTTGATTGCTGATATTTGATCAGCGCTGGGTTCCACGTCTGCTGACGGGACATCGCCGAACTTGGACTTGTACTTGGAGAACATCTCTGCAATTTCTTCTTGGCCCAATTGCAGGATCTCTGCATCGAGTGTGGGATCTACGATGCTACTCAGTTTAAGCTTTCTTGTCGGAGATGATGGACCTTGTCCCCCTCCAGTGCCTGGGAATGGGGCCGCTCCCACAATCGGCTGTGGAGGGCCTGCACCACCAGGTCCATCTGGATTGACCTTGAGCCTCAGGAATACCACCCGGCGAAAGATCTCGACCCGTGAAAATTCCACAGGGGTCAAGTCTCGCTCGGCCTCTGTACCATCAGCTTGAGGCTCTTTGATCGTGAGGCTGGCCACCACCGTATCCCACGTAGGACGGGCAATGAACACCAGGTCCCGCAGCTTGGACGGTTTGCCCAACTTCTCCATGAGATGGTCGTGGACCGCACCTGTCGTGCCTGCCCAGTCGGCTGCATTCTCCAAGGTGTTGAGGTTATTGAGTTCCTCTTCGGTTGGGTCCATGGTATACCGGACCTTCACTCCACGACACCTGTCTTGAGGCTGGGCCTTGCGGACTTGCCTTGGGCCCAGGAGTGGCTACCCTGCGCCTCCTTTGGTTTGGCCTAGGAGGGCTTTGCACAGAAGGTAGCTGATGATGTGAGTAGTTGCGGAAAGCCAGTGCCACGGTTCTCCTTCGGTGGATAAACCGTAAGGCTCGACTGACCAGCTGGTGCCAGCCAATCGTGCTCGGGTGACCGGCTGATCCTCGGGTGCGCAAATTCCACTGGCTGACCCACGAGTGAAGTTTCCAACCCAAGACGGCACCGACCAGGACAGCACAGCTAAGTGCTACCCCGATCACAGTCCAAACGCCCCCAAACCAAGGTTCGGATGGGCTTGAACTTGCCGTCAGGTCGGATCCCCCACTTAAGATCAAGGCCATGGGATTTCAAAATCACACCCTTGAGCCAAAATGGCCCCAGGCCAAGCTGGTTCAAGGGTTTCCCTCCCACAAACACCCCTCTCATGTCATTTAGTTATTACAACAACAGCTTCACTGTTTCACCCAACAATTGCATAGTTAATACCTCTCTTACTCAGCTGCCCAACCTACCACAACACCTGAGAAAAAAAAATATGTAAACTCACCGTGATCGAACAACGATACACTGTTTGTTCTAGGCCTTCGGAACAGGTCCAAATCCCCCATAATTGCGACCTGTGGCTCGTTGTCTCGCACTGTAGAAAGGTGGTAGAGCATCCCAAGAATGCGCCCTGGCATAGCCAACAAAATGCACCAAACATCAGGCAACGTCTAGCAACAAAAATGAGTCCTCCAGCAAAACACATAGGCAGCCCGAACAGGTTTGGAAACTAACCTGTCTTCAATAACATCAACGCAGAGCTGTCCCACAACTATATAACTAAGAAAACGATTCGAGAAACTTGACCGCCAAACCAAGGCTTGATTGCAATAGATACAATCATGCGGCCCACAGCATCACTTGTGGGCCGTGAGGATTACTTGCTTTCCTGATTCTGACTTTAGATTGGGTTCGCGGAATATCGACAGGGCTTGTCGACACTCTCAGGACTGGAGACCTCATATCTGTAGTAGGAGCGGGAAAACAAGTAACGAGGGCGTTTGGGATGCATGTGGGTAGCATCTCGTGCCAGCTTCGAAAAAAGGAGGTGTACAGTACCCTTAAAAACTGCCTTTAAGTCGAAGCCTTTCGCGGGTTGGTTGGTTCACATGAAGGTTGGAGCGGGGACGCCTGACTATTTGCGGCCAGGGAGTTCAGATACGTGTTTGTGGTGTAGTCTAACGGTGAGTTCGGTGTCGTTGGTGAGAGAGTGACAAATTGAGTATCTGTTTCCTGAGAGCGTGCTGCAGAGCAAGAGTGCTTTGAAGTTCCTGGCCTTGCTCTCCGTTTTCGGATGTAACCCAGGCCGAACCTCTTAGAAGGCAAGCAAGGCGATGAATTGGGGCCATGGACTGAATGATCAATGGATCAACATGTGCATCAAGTAGAATTGTCAATTAAGGCCTTAAGGCCAACACTTTGGAGCAGCTGCAACACCTTCAAAGCACTCTCTGCAAATTCCGAAAGCAAAGTACGGGTCCTTAGCAGAACATTCAACGCTGTCGTTCGCAACATGCAAATAACATTTCAACAACGACCACTGACAGTCAGCTTCACATCTACTGGCAAACAAGACTCTCCCACAAAAACGCTTCGTTCGTTGCATCTGCAGCAAGTTTTGGCAGTATCTCGACGGGTGGCGCAGGGAATTCCAAAGCATGTTGGCCGCATGGTACATCGCTTCCAATGCGATCCCCGACTCTCTCACTCTCTCTCTCTCTCTCTCCCTCTCTCTCCCTCTCTCTCTTTCAAGGCAGCTTTCCGGTAAACCGTATTCCATTCACATCGAAAGACCAAAGAGCAAGCCTGTAAGCTTTTTGAAGCAAGTTCCACCTGCCAGCATGAATTGGAGGATGCAGCATTTATATGCATTTATCATGGCTGATGCTCTTTCCACAGCAAGGCCGCCAACCGGATTAGGCCGCCAACCCCATTGAACAATATTAATCAATGATCGCTGCTCGTTGACAAATCCTTCAAGTATCGGCCAAGGGACACAAGCGGACACCACGGACAGCATCAGTCTGGCAAGAAGCAGCATGTTGATGATTATGTGCATTCAGGGCAGTGCGCAAGAGGTACAAGAACCAAATCAAACGCAGGTGTCCAGCCTTCCCAATGCCTGAGTGCAGTCAACAGCTGTGAAGAACGTAAAGCATTCGGACACGAGCAGCATCAAACCGCAAGGCCCACAAAGAGAAAAGACCAAGTATAGAAGCGCAGAATGGCGCAGAAACAGGGAGGCGAGAGGGCCAGAGCATGCAAAGATGAAGGCATCGTGGCTTTTCTTGATGGTGCGTCGGTGTTTTATTCTGACCGTCGCCTTTACGTAAGAATGGCTATGTGGAAAGGGGGGAAGGGGCGGATGGCAGGATTCGCATAGCCTCCTTAATCCTTTCTGAAGCAAAAAGGCTATGTTTTGTTTCCATCCTGCATTCAAAGTTTTCCCTGGCCGTAGCTTCAGCCGCGCTCGGACATAGCTTCAGCCGCGCTCAGAGAGGGGAGAAGCGCAGGAGTAAATTGCAGCCCTTGACCTAGTGATATCTTATGTTATGTTATGTTTTGCCATGTTCTGTTTTGTATGTACGTACGTAACATATGTATGTATGTAGGTCATGTATGTAATGTATGTCATGTAGTGTATGTAATTTATGTAATACAGGTAATGTATGTAGTGTAGTGTAATGTCATATCATGTCATGTAATGTAATGACACGTTATGTTATGTGATGTAATGTTATGTTGTGTATGTTATGTCATGTATGTCATGTATGGTAGGCGTTCCTCCGAACCCGTGAGAAAGGCTTCCTCCACAGCAGTGGTTTGCAAAGTCCTACAGTACTCAAAAATGGTGATCTGACTTTTACGAATCCATGCTCTTTTCAGCTCCAGATCTCTTCGCAGCCCAGGCAAGGTACTGATCGCTGTATTGCACATGCGGCACGACATTCCTGAGGTGTGATCTCTGGGAAACCAAAACTTGTCCAGCTCACAGCTAGTGAACGCAAGACAGCAAATGAGGAACAAAGGAACCGGTTTTGCCATGTTCAGGTCAAATTCCATCTTCATGCTTTCAAAGTGGCTAGACTTGTTGTAGCAGGTATCGCAGAGTCCAGATCCCCAACGAAGTTGCTTCAAAGGAATCTTCTTTTGGCAACCTACAGAGGAGCGGTCAAGTGGCAACAGTCATTGAAAAAAAACACACACAAAACATGCTTGGTCTTGTCGGTTTCCAAATTGTTGCCATTTGCGCGTCGAGGGTCTAGTGCACTTCTTGTGGCAATCCTGCCAAGCAAACCAAGTTCACTCCTGTGCTGATCCAATGTGTTTGCATTCCAGCCTTGTAGCAAAAATCGCACAAACCAGACGTATATCTCCTCGGATAGCAATCTGAGTTTTCCCAGTTGTTTCAGTGACCGCATGAGAATATGAACGTTTATTCAATATTCTTGAACAAGGTTTTCCTGCCCAAGGACAGCCAAGCAACAGCTCATCATCAGGAATGGTCTCATTGCAACGGACACAAGTGGTGTTGTATCGGTCGAAGCAGGCATCGCAGAGCCCTCAGGCCGTCGTGTGATGTGTGAAGAATATCCTATCATATCCTATCCCATTTTTGCGCAGTGTGTTTTGGGCGTTTTGGAAACCGTTCAGTTGCCATATTGCGGCGCAAAATCTGTACCAAGATTGTGCATACCTTCAGAAACAGTGCACGATTCAGTGCACGATTCATGGCATACCGGATTCAAATTAGATTCGCGTAAAAATACAACCGGGGCCTATTTCCCGGCTCGACTATTGGTCAAGTTTCCGATGTGTGGCCTTTTTCGCGAAACCAATGATCTGCATCCACCACTTTCATCGTAGCAGGTATTGCAAATTCCTCGTCAAGTCACGACTCTAAGACTCTAAGACTCTTCAAAAAAACAATTGTCTTTTATTTGTGAAAGCATGTCCTGCGCACCATGTTTCTGAAGGCTAAATCCGGTCCTGTTCTCCAACCACTTTCTTCAAGGGAGATGATTTTTGGACCTGGGTCACAGTTTGGTGAAATGTCATCTAAACCTAAACCTCTGTTGATAGTGGATACCCACCTACATTTCACGACACAAATAATCCAAGAAGATCCAAGAAGCATTTCTTGCATTTCACCTGGCTGCAAAACTTAAGGGGTGCAAAGGACTCTTGCAGCCGCTTTTTGCAATGTTTGTTCTGTTTGCTGAGAATGCACACAAAGTCTGCAGGGTGAAGCATGGTGAAGCATGGTGAAGCTGTCAGAAAACGGTTTGTGCGAAAGTATTGTCTGTGCCTCATTCTTTTGGGAGCACTCGGCACACATGGCCGTCTTCCAGCCTGACCTTGCTCCACAGCAAACGTGCCAAGCACATGAAGCACATGAAGCACATGGATGCTACGGATGGAGGTACGTCTTGACACTTCTTTAGTCAAGATGCTCTCCAAGTGAGATCTTCCTTGGTCGCAGAATCATCAAATTCCGCTTGAACAAGGTGCAGTTTTCTCTAACCCTCTAACTGGTAGTCAAAGTTTCAATTGGGCACAAACTATGCATTGGTCACAAGTCACAAGAACCAAAAAGCTCGAGACTTGACTCCAGGAGCAAAGGCTAGTTAGTCCAATTGGGTCAGTGATGGAAGCTGGCAATTTTTGTAAGTATATTCAGTCCATTGGAGCCCTGTGGATATTCAAAGCAGCATGAACACAAAATACTGTACTGCAATACTTCCGAAAATCTGGCTATAGGGCAAGTGATCCTCTATCCTCTCTACCACATTTGTCTCTTCAAGACAAAACAGTAAGAATAGCCGGTAAATAAACTTTTGCACTTTCCATGGCTTGCTAAGTCGACTGCCCTTCAAGACCAGCATTGCTTTTTGACTATTTATGCCTCACCTTTGACAAGGCTCTCATTACAAATGCTGCATTTTTTCCGGCAGGAGTTCCAACACAGATCACCTAAGCTGCTTGGTGCCCTGTATGGCCCCGTGCCACGTCCTCTCGAGAAAGAACAAACAGAATAGAGCCGGGGCAAGCAAGATCCATTCTTCTCCTAACGCTTGTTTCCATGCCTTGTTACTTCACCACCTATCACAGAGAGCAACTTCTGTACGGTTTTAAACTTTGTGCGTGTTTGAGCCAATGCTGCGTCAACCAAAAATGGCAATCAAGTTGCAAAGACCAGTTTTGAACTTCAATTCAGTCCTCAGCTTGGCACAAATCATGCGAGTGTAAAGACACTCAAAAACCAGACGATTCACCAACGTCCACGCTCTTGTCGCTCTTGCAGCTTGGTAGCACATTTAATCGTCTTGCACATCCCTTGCACAGCCTGGGCTCGAAGACTGAGTCATAAGTGCTACGACTGCTATGAGTAGTGATCAATCATTGGCCAACTGACGGCTTCATGGAGAGTGGCACTGTGGTTCGCAAGAGACTACCTGTTTCTGTGGTTGCCAAAGCTTCAGAAGATTCATAAACACCTTCTTCAAACAGGTTGCGGCAACTTGAGGTAGCACTTGTCGCATAGTCCGGATCCCCACCGTTCCTGGCTCTTGTCGATCCTTCCTCTGCCTGTGATGGTAAACTCACGTGGCAAACATTCAGGAAAGATCCAGCGCCAGTCTTATGCTGCTAACACTGGGGAACAAATCAAGCATCTAAACGAATCTAAACCACTGATACCAAAGTCCAAGGCACAGTATGTGCATTGCTTGTCCACACTGTCTCGACCTGTACAGAGTCCAAGGTTCAAAATGAATAACTGCAACATACTGCAACTAGCAAGAGCTACAAAGAGAAAACAGTGCGAGGTTTGAGGTCAAAACAGTCTGGGCAGAGGCGAACATGACCCAAGTGCAATGTAGAATCAAAAGTCCTAGGATGCATTCGGATGCATTCGGATGCATTCGGATGCATTCGGGCCTTTCGCTCCTGCACTACATCTGGAAAGATTCTTGTCCAACAAATCTGAGATAAGCGTGTATCGAATTTGGGCCAAGTTTCCATCCCTGACATTTCCCGCATACCAGTGCCCTCAGGGCAAATGGCTACAGATAAGGCAGATAAGGCAAGATACAATCCACTGACGATACTATCTGTAGTGGCACATGGGCATGGTGGCTTTGAGAGGATATCGTACACTGCGATGAGAATCCAATGTAATGATGTAATGCCAACCTAAAATTCATAAACCCCTGGGTTACCAAGCTTGATAGTAGCTTAGCACCATGTGGGAGCCCCTTTATATAATCAATCAGGGCTTATTCATCCCGGGTTGACATTCTTCACCAAGTGAATGTCACCATGTCTTGCTGAGCACCTAACGGAATCAAGGACTGTGCCCTTTGGCAACGAGGGCCCGATAGATTGGAGGGAGATTCGGACAGCAAAGGTTGGTTCGCCATCCATTTGCCCGACAGCAATGCTACTGAGAATATTTGATGATTGAAGTCTCAAGATGTCTCAGACTCACGTGATCTTTATATATGTATGGATATGTATATTTTTGTATATTCAGGACATCAATGCAAGCCATTGTGGTTGCACAAGTTTTCCTCCATGCAGTGTTTCTCTGAGTCTCTGCGGACATTGATCTCCGGCAGTCCTCTTAGTGCACTCAATTCAAGACAAGGCTACAAAAAACAAGACATGTTGCTGGCTCATGTTGCTCAGAGAGGCCTTTCGAAGCTTGATAGAACGAATGGCTTCATATGGTCAGATGATGTCAACTGAGTCATACAGTCAAAGGAGCTCCAGAGAGTGACATTCCAATCGAGACCGCGACAAGCACGAAGCACGTGGGTGAGTAAATTGCGCCAATCCACTGACAAAGAAATGTCCACGCATGGCCTGCGTCCTCAAAAGGAGCGCATCAATGCTAGTCGGGTTAGAACGCAAGATCTGTTGCGTAGTATTCCTGGCATTCGAGAAAGCCTTCCAACAAACATCATCTCCAGTCCAAGCATTCTACAATCAAAATTCCAGGGTCCGGAATCCATCTGACTACAACAGTTCGCAATTGCGCCAGCATCGCAACACCCTGGGATATTGCCTCAGATCCTTGGCAAACATGTTGCAGGTTCATACTTGACAACAGATCCCCCATGGATTCATGTCCGACGGTATGCGCTTGGTCGTAAGCCAAGATGCCAAGTAGCAGCGGGCCATTTTCAGAGTCAGAGGAGGATAGTCGAACAAGGCCTCGGTCTGGAGAGGCTAAAAAGAGCATCAAGAGGATCTTGCTGCATGTCACTGCAAGTGATGTTCAGGAATTCAGGCAGCTTGATGTAAGTCAGAAACTGTTGACTCCAGGTTTGCGAACATATTCAAAGCCTCACATTTCAAGATGGCTCATAGCACAAACCTGGTTGAAAAGAATCCATCCAAAGATATCCAAAGTGTGTTTTTTGCTACTGACAAAATGTTCCCCTCCACGAGACATCCGCTATCACTACTGATCTCAAAGAAAGATCTGCTGTCATCAGTTGCTTTTGCTACAGCACAGCAGGACAAGAAAATGAACACGATCGGCAATCGACACAGCATGATAAGACAGAGTGGAGGGTCAAGCCTTCCAGGTTCCAAAAAAATGCGAAAAAATTAAAAAAAAAAATAAGTCGCATCACTTCCCCCGCTGGGACTGCAGTTGCGTTGACATGATTGGCGTAGCATTCTGTGACTCATTACTCGACTCTAGGCTGCTCATATGTAAAGTCAGAATTTTGCTTCGACCTCTTTACTTCAACCTTTTGTTTAGTTTTGGAGTGTCTACGGAAGGTAATCGCAGTGTCCATCTGTGTCCCTCTATCTGCATTGTGGCCATTACGCATCATCCTGAGCGTTTTTCTGTTTCCTAAACCAAGGAAATGTTTGAACCTAATGACCTAATGCTGTAACAGCAAGGATCACGCGCCTTTGCAGGTTCACCTCGGGAGAGGGCCTGCAGTTCAGCTATTCTTTTGAATCTTCCTACACATTCCCCCCAAGGGTCAATAGCGACGAGAGCGACGGCATGGAAATGACTAAATTGTCAACAAATTGTTGATCCCTTAATTGTTGATTTGAATAAATGGTCATTAATTGTCATCACTTTAATATCACAGTGATTCACAGTGGGTGTCGCCACCTCGAAGGATCACAGAAAACACTGTGAGCCTCGCCTGGTCAGCTTCCGCCAAGGTCGCCTCTGTGCTTCCTGCACAGGGCACGGCATCGCAAAGGGAACAACAGAATTCAGTGGTTTCAAACAGTACGAGTACAACCACTTTCGCATATGTCTATCTATCTATCTATCCATCCATCTATCCATCCATCTATCCATCTATCCATCCATCTATCCATCCATCTATCCATCCATCTATCCATCCATCTATCCATCTATCCATCTATCCATCTATCCATCTATCCATCTATCCATCTATCCATCTATCTATCTATCTAAGTCTATCTATCTAAGTCTATCTATATAAGTCTATCTATATAAGTCTATCTATATAAGTCTATCTATATAAGTCTATCTATCTATTCTAATCTAATCTAAATCTATATCTACGTCCAAATCTATATCTGAATCTAAATCTGAATCTGAAACTTGATTAAAATCTGAATCTTAATCTAATCTAATCTGATCTGATATAATCTATCTATCTATCTATCTATCTATCTATCTATCTATCTCTCTCTCTCTCTCTTCATATCCTGCAAATGTCAGAGAACATGAGAAACCATGAGAAACCTGCCTATTTGCTTCAGGGAGTTGGTCAAGACTGAGTCCGCCTCGTTCGCCTTTGTGAACTATGAGTTCCAATGTCCAAAAGCTACTAAAGAAATCACAGCTCAAATTAAAGACTGCAGACCACATCTTCCTCAACAGACAACTCAAGTGTGTGTACTTTTTTTTGAATCGCATAAGCCGCAGCTGAGTGCAGAATTCAGCGGTTAGCTATCTGCTTCGCAGAATTACACTAAACGTGTGAACCTTGCAGCACCATTATTTTTTGTATAGATCACAGAAAAGGAGGGAAAAATAAAGGGGGAGGAAGAGAAACATAAAAGGAGCGATCCAGTGCAGAAATCAATGTATTTTGAGGCCGGGCCGACAATATGCCCGCTTTCGACGACGAAACTTTCGGTGATGAAACTTTAAACTGAGTGTACTTCCTGTTGTAAACTTTGATCTCAACGCTTTGAGAAATTCCGAGAATGTCTCTGCAGAGGAGAGGATTTCTTTCTGTTCAAAGTTTAATGCTGCTGATGTATTTTTCCTCGGAGATTAGGATTGACCCATGGCACTGAGAGTTGAGTCTCTTGCAAGGCCCAGAGTCGACCGAGCAGTGTCAAAGTCACCACGCGCAACCTGCAGGGGCCGCTCCTAACTGATTCCAAATGTGTACATAGTATATGTGTATACATTGTGTATCTATATATATATATCATACGTAGTATATACATCCGAGTATGAATATCAAATGTAAATATGTATGTATGTATGTATGTATGTAATGTAATGTAATGTAATGTAATGTAATGTAATGTACTGTACTGTAGTGTAGTGTAGCGTAGGGTAGTGTAGTGTAGTGTAGTGTAATGTAGTGTAATGTATGTATTGGCATATGTTATATGTTTGATGTAGTACATGTATAATATATATATATAATATATATAATATCATATTATATAGTGGGTCCGGATTGTTTTGGGAATTATTGTTTTCCGTTTGTGTATTTTTTTTGGATCTGCTGTCCTGTCCGTCTTCCCTGCAATTTGCAGCATTTTGGCGCTGGAAGCTGCCATTTCAACGGTATTGCAACATTTTGGAGTTCGAACCTCTCATCTTCCATGGTATTTGCAACATTTTGGTTTTGGTTTTACTTAGGGTTATTCAGGGTACAATGAGTTTCAAAGTTTGGGTTTGTTTAGGGGTTACTTACGGGGCGTTAGTTTGGGTTTATTTAGGGTTGGTTTAGGGTTTCTTTGGGTTAAGTTTCAGATTTTAGATTGTTTGAAGGGTTTACTTAAAGCTGTTTTAGTTTTTTGGGGGGTTGGTGTGGGGTTTATAATTTAGGGTTGGTTTAGGGTGTATTTATATTATGCATCTTGCGGTTTATTTAGGCTTGCTTGAGAGGCAAAGAAGCAGAAAACAGCGGAGAAGCAGAACAGTGGAGAAGCAGAGAAGCAAAGAAGCAGAGAAGCAGAGAAGCAGGCAAAGGAAGAAAAGCAGAAAAGCAAAAAGCAGAGAAGCAGAACAGTGGAGAAGCAGAGAAGCAGAGAAGCAAAGAAGCATAAAAGCAGAATCAAGGGAAAAGCAGAAAAGCAAAAAGCAGAGAAGCAAGCAGGGAAACAGAAATCCAAAAAAAAAGCCCAAAACGGGGAAAAAAATAATTCCCAAACAAAATAGCCCTCCTTATATAATAGATATGAAAGAGGGCCCGGAGCTGCATCCCAATAGCTTCAATTCAGGAGACAAAACGCCTTGGACCTGGAAACCACGGCCTGGGCTGATGCCAATCGAGCTCGAACCTTCGAGTTGGAAGGGTCCAGCGCCTTGAAACCGCACTGCTGAAAGATTTGATGTTGTCCTTTGTTATATTAACATATATTAACGATATTTGATATGTATTCTATTTTATTATATATATACAGTATATATACACGTTTTTCTTTCTTGATGTTGTGATGTTTGATGCATGTCAAGCCTACCTCATTCATCTTCACTCCACATCACGTGCCAGGCCGTTGCTTGGCTTCATGGTTTCTATTTTACACTTGTAGTAGACAAAGACGCCCTAATCTGTAAGATGAACTGAGGTCTGCAGTCTTCGCCCACCACGTGAGGATCCCACCAGTGATTCCTCACATGCAGCCGCACAATCGCCAGCCCTCTTCAGCATCAGGCACCTGCGTTGCAAAGACGGACAAACCACATTGGGTAAAAAGGGATCAACACCAACCAATGGAATCAGTGTGCATCAGTCATTTGAAGGACTCAGGGCGCTGCGCGGCTGCAATATTTCCAAGCAATTGGGCGCGGAAGCCAGCTTCATCGCTGGGAGTCAAATCCTGAACAACGAGGCTACAGTTGGCCTTCGGAAATGGCTACAAACATGTTTGCGCTTGTATGCGTGTAGTATGTATTTCTCTTCTAGCTTGGAATGATGTCTTCAGCCACCGCAAGAGACTTCTGAGTTGTCACCTGCATATTCCATACATGTCAATGTCCTGTCAATGTCCCGTCAATGTCCCGTCAATGTCCCGTCAACGTCGTGTCAATGCTGTCTTCAAGTGATCTCGACGTCTGGGAACTGCAAGGGCTGGATGCAAACAAAGGTCCAGGGCTTGCCGGTACTGAAGCAACGCTCCGCGATAATCTCCATCTTTGTACCTCCAATCGTACCCAGACATTCACCCAGACCCATCCAGACCCAAAAAACGACGTAAACAATCAACTTCAAGTCAACTTGGATTCAACTTGGCATTTCCAAGCACTGAAGTGTCAGGATTTCAATTGACAGCAAGAGCCCAGAGTCGCACCTTGCAGTTCCTGCTTCCTTTGCTTGTGAGGCCTTGAACTGGACATGTCCATGACGTGAAGTTGTTAGAAACTTGTGAACCTGTCCTTCTGGTCCTTCTGGTGACAAAGGAGTCTCAGAAACTGGCAGCTTCCATGGCTGGACTTCCAGCAGATTCCTTCCACAGCGAAACGAAACTCTCAAGTATCGAGGCAAGTATCTGCATCTACTCCACGTAACTCCTCTCAAAGCGAGTGAATTTTGCACATCTCATTTGGATTTTTGTTTGACAAGTATTCTGTCAACCTTTCCTGCGTTGTGTGTACTGTTTATGTCACTTTCTTTCAACTCAAGTGCTGAGTCCCTGCCTGAACCGATGGAGCTGCTTGAGCTGCTGGAGTTGCTGGGGCCGGGGCCACTTGGGGCTGGGGAGTCGCAGCCTGCGCAGCTTGAGCGTTCCTCAGCTCAGGGACTTGCGATTCCAATGTGATGTGAAGTTCAAGGGCTTCCCAAGGTGATCTGAATGTTCTTCAGAATGTTCTTCAGAATGTTCAATGTTTTTTCCCAAGGTGACAACTGTGACAGTTCACTTCGCAGCAGCCGCTCCACCTGGGCAGGTTCTAATTCGGAGTCTTCTACAGAAGCAAAAGTAACTACAGTCACTACAGTCATTCAAGGATGAGCCTAGAAGCCTAGTCATTGCAGGGTCAGAACGAAACGCTCTAGTGACTCCAGTGACTCTCAGGACATTGGCCTAATGGACAAGCACTATGTTGTTGAATCTGCTGCCTCTGTTCGCATGCCGAGTTGGCCAGCTAGTCGAAGGGTAGCCTAGACTCACGATCGGCCGTCGGCCGGCAGGGCTGTATTGGCTGTATGAGGGTTCAAGTTTCGCGGCTTCGCATTTCAAATTTCTTCAAGTCACATCAAGCTACAAGAGTTCACCAAATTCTCGCTGACCTTGCCTCCAGCTCTTCAAGAAGCTGAAGCCGAGACTCGGCTCTGCACTTCTGGAAGAGAGCCTGAAATTCTCTGCGATCTGTGAAAACATGTGAAAACTGTGAACCTGACTTTTCCTTGCTAAAACTGTTTTCACACGTTTTCATGACATCTCTCAGCCGGCCTTCTTGGTAGCTGCTGGTGTGAGGTCCGTGCGAGAGAGTGCCTTAGCTCAAACCGACCAGCGACATCGGCTCTGCATCAGCTCCGCAGCTGCATCTGCCTCTGCTGCATCAGCTCTGGCACCTTCCTCAGCAAAAGCAATGCTGGTTGGTCCGGTTGGTCCGGTAGCTCAAGGAAATCAAAACGTTCATCGACTTTTCAGCTGTATCTCCTGTAGTCTTGCCAGCGTGCCTTCTTAGCTGCGCACTTTGTATCACTTTGTCAGGGATCTGCATGAGTCATGCTGGGGGCAAAACCCAATCTTCCAGAGAAGCAAGGCAAACAGCACGATTCCTCAACATCAGCTGGTTGGTGCTGCCAGAAAACAATACAGGTTTCACTTTGTGAGATCCCCATGCATGTCATTCCAAATGTGATCCACACTTTTTGAATCTCAAGAAATGATATGCTCGCCAATCACATCTCAACTGAGGCAAACCACGAGTAGTAAACACCTGGAACTGGTGCTCCCGCAGCCTGTGTTGCATGCAATCCTTTAAACTTTAGCACCACAACCGTCACAACGCTCACATTGCAAAAAGCCAAAGTTTCAAGACCTCTGCACACCTCTGCAATGGCAATGGCTTCTCTGTAGAGTCGAAGGGCTTCTGTGAATTCTTTGGCCTTTGAAAATTCTGTCGCTTTGCTGGCTCTCAAAATTCCAATCGTTTGACCCTGTACAGCACCAAAACAAGAAATTGCCTATTTCCACTCCAGGGTTGAAAGATGCTGCGCAAATCTCCCTCACTGAATAGCCAACTGCCGTGCAGTAGTTTGCACTACACATTTTTGCGCAGAGAAAGTTGCAACGCACCTGCCTGAAAAGCAGTGTTTCCTTCGGCCTTTTTTGCATCTGCCTTATCAAGTGTGAAGATTGCGAAGTATATTTTAATTGCCATAGACCATGCACTGGAAACTTGAGTACATCAAGCAAGTCTTGGAAATGTTTCCCCTTTCAGTTTTGCCTCTTAGTGGAAGAAGCAAAATGCTGGAAACAAACGGAGCGAAACCAGCCCTGCCACTACTGCACCAGTGAGGACAGCAAACGGCAAAACCGAGGAAAAAAACCGAAGGACATCGAAGGACACCTGCAAGTGCACCGGCAAAATCCATCGCCTCTGGAGGAAGAGCTGGCAGAGCTGGCAGAGCTTCACCAGTTTCACCTCCGAATGGCTCTGCCTCACCTGCATCATAGCGAAGTGGCTAAGCTTCGGCTATTTTTTGACGCGCTGAGAACCCGAAACTCATCAAGGTGGCTTGTTTTGAGTGCCAGCCTTCAGGGCAGCTGCCCTCGGCCCGGCTGCTTTCACATTTTCTCATCTTGCATCCTCTGACAGCACTTGAGAATCAGTGAGTCCACGTGAGAATTCACGAGAGAACCACAGGAGTCAAAAGATCAAAAGCTTCCGCCTTTGCCTTGGTCATCGCATTCCTTCGTACAGTCACCACACCGCTCACCACAGTGGGGCAAGCGACTAGCGTCTACTGGTGCCGAAACCATGGCGAGCAAGTCACTGCGGCCAGAGGCCGCAACTAGAATTGTCAGGCAATGAAGTGTCTGAAAATCAGTCTACTGTATCATAGTTTGTATATGTTTGTATATACATATTTATATATATATATACATTATATTATATATAATATATGTACATATTATATACATGTATGTACATATTATATACATGTATGTATATCATATCTTATACATATCTCATATATGCACACCTACACATTATTACATTGCTATCATCATAATTATTACTGTACTATAGTCGTACCATATGTTACATACGTCTACATGTTAATATTGTTCAGATTGATTGGCTGAAAGCATCATGGCTCCGCTACCTCACGAGATGCAGTAGAAGCTTGAACGCCTCAAATTAACTTAATTGGCTGGAAAGTCTGCGCTTTTTGAAGTTGTGCTATTTCTTTGTAGCTACTTTTGTTTGCCTTGGTTCTTTGCAAAGCTGAAGCTAAAAGGAAAGGAACGGAACGGCATTTCGGCACATCAACTTCAAGAGTTCGGTGTGATTTGGATGGGGTGGTCTTTTGTCCGGTGTTTTTATCGACTTTTGCAAAGTTTTGCAAAGTTTTGCAAAGAACCCAGAGAGATCCAGTCCCTGAAGTGTTTCACCACTCGTCCTGCATTGCTTAAGAAATTGCTTCATTGTTCGTTCCGCTGCTAGGGATGTGAGGAAGTGCAGCGATCCGATTGATCCGAAAAGTATTGAAATCATTGGTATCTAGGGTATCGTGAATATATGTAGCCGAACACAAATAACCACCAAAACGGGTTTGTGATTCGTGTTTGAGACCTCACAAGCTGATTGCAATGTCGTGCAGGTTCAGAAGGCGGAAGAATTCACAACTGGATAGTTCTAGCATGTTCTAACACCTGAACTGAAGCACCATATAGACTATTTATGACTATATACGTCAATCAATAGCATGACCTGCAAATGGCACATCACATATCACCACATAGCCACATAGTCCCAGTCCACGTTTTTGCTATTGCTTCAGCAAGGCCAGCAAGCTCAACACAAACCCATCTTGCAGCGGAATGTCACAAGAATGACGCTTTGGCAGCATTTGCTGCAATGCCACTGTCCACTGCCTCAAAATGTAGCTGTCCATTTGGCTCACACATCTGACATTCTAAGATATGCTAAGCTAAGCACCATGGAAAATGCGTCTAGTTGGGGATCCTGGTCTGGCCTCTCCAAGGTTCTGCAAACACACAAGAGACAGCTTGATCTCGTTGTACATTTAGTACATTTTCATACATGTTCTACATCTGCATTTCAGGAGGTGCCACCCAGCTGCGCGCTGCGCCTGTAAGCTGAGAGGACTTGGGACGCGATAAAGTCTTGCATCCTCAGTGCACAATTTTGCCGAGCCAAGGATCTGTGAACTCAAAAGCTGAGGCAAAGGCATGAATGGTCGCCGTCTCGCCTAAGGCAAAACACCAAATGCATAAAACGCAGACGCAGCATGTCATTACAACATATGCATACATATGCCAGCTATGCTAAGCTGTAGGCATTAGCTTCACGAGATATCGTCAATTCAAACCTTCGCCCGATTCACATTGCGAGACTCCAAGACTCCAAGAAGAAACTGAGCCAGCTGATCTTTCCAGAAAGTGAAACGTGAGGAGTCGTGAAGTATGTTGTTCCAAAACTCTACGAGTTGGCCAAGCTGCCAATGAGGAGGCCCGTGTTTTGGCGGGCAGAACAGCTCCATGTTCTGCCTAGTCCCCCACATCGCCTTGGAAAGTGTTGCGGCAATCATGAAATGCAGCGTGCTCTTGTGAATAAGGGCAGATATCAAGTGCATCTTTGTCAGTTGACTCTATCAGAGTGTCAAGATGTGTCAAGCATCGACCAGATTGAGGATCCAACTGGAGCTGTGGATTTCAACACCTCAATACAACAGTGCAGATTGACTGTACGAGGGATCAAAAGGTCTGGGGGCCAATTTGTTTAAGTGGACAGTGGCATTGGAAGTCAAAGAGTTAGATACAGCTAGACATGTTGCCAGTGCTGTCTGCACATGTGGTGTTGCGCCCGAGGATGGCACCTCAGTCCCTCCCATGTCATATGCAGCATCCCACAACACATGTGGGGTCGGTCCGGCCTTGGCGCAAGGTCGTCACCCTCAAGGATCGCTTACAGAAACTAAGACATATGTACTGAGACCATATCATTCACAATCCCATGACGGGTTTGGCACACTCCTCTAGTTGCTCCAATTGAACTGATCCAAGTGTGCCTGCGCTTCAGATGAGGTTGCAACAGATTTGTCTTCTAAATGAACATGCACCTCGGACAAGTGGAAAGTACATTCATGACATATTTGGGTTCATTCACATCAAGGTGGTTTTCAGGCTATTTGCGTGTGTTTCTGAGTGCACCGACGAAAGACTCCGGATGGTCAAGCTCTATCCTAAGTGAAAAAATCTGGAGGAAAGCCACAGCTGTCTGCTTTGAATTCTATTGGAGTCTTGACAGTCTTGATATGATTTCATCATTTCATCCTGAAATGTGGCACCACTATGCACAGCCAAGAAACTGTGGATGAGGATATCCTTGCAGATTTGGCACAGGTGCCGGACCACCTGGTCCAGGACCCCAGGCCTCAAATCTGCCCACGGCGGCCACGGCGCTGTGAAATGCACTGAAGTCGGATTTGTCGACCGAGGTGCAGAATGCTGACAGCTAAATCTGGAAGTGTCCTCAGTGAAACAAATTATTCCAACAGCCCTATTTTCTGAGTTTGGCTTGGATTGGAACCAGAAACAGGAGACTTAATGTTGACATGTAACGCATGAACATATGATACAGTAATTAATGATAAAGTACTTGTATACTGGATACATGCAATATGCCAAATTATAGCAAATTTGTATTGTAGGTGTCTGCACAGCAGAATGACATGAAACATACGAGATGCAGCTCAGGGGCTGTAAGATCGCTGAAGCGGATCGTTTGAGACCTGAAAAGCACTGGAAGTCTATGGCAGTGTCAAGTCCTCATAAAGTCTCCCCAAGTATCTCAAGTCGTAACATGTCTTAACATCCCGGCACCTGAAATCTTCAAGCAGCTGTAGCTCGCCACCATAGCCAGCTATGGGAAGGTGCGAGACCTTGGAGTTCTGCTTACATCCAGCGTCGGCAGTAGATTTGCCCATCTAGCCATCTGAAAGCCACATCCCCAGAGCAAAGTTTACCATGCAGGAGCTCAAAATAGAGGGAATAGGAAAAAAAGAAGCTCAACCTGGGGCGAAAGTAGTCTCAGAACAACTGGGACAACTTGAAGATCTTGACTGCTCAATCAATGGCAACCTTCTGTTTCTGCCTACGAGTGGTTGTTCATTCTTGTTGATTTGTTCCACTCTCAGCACTGACAAATGGTCAGGGCTTCCAGGATGCAGGCTCCAGAGCGGGCGTTGTCGGTCCAACCACCTGCCCTTAGCAAAACCATGGTGGATGGTGGTGACCTGGTGGTATTGCCTACGAAACTACGAAATCTATTTGATCAATGGCGGTTGAGTGACCAAATCCGTGCAAGCAAGCATCGGTGGTTCGTGTGTTTCCTTGTACCTCAGCTCAACAAGGGCTCCCATGAGTTCTCTTGACACAAATCCTACTCCATACTGTCCACACTAACTACATTTCCATACTGTATCCATACTGTCTGCATACCTGTCAACATGCCTGCCGAGAAGCTCATCACTGTTACCCGGGCCAGGAGGTCTTGTGTTCTCAAAGTCAGACAGCGACCCTGACAACAACTGTCCAAATGATAACCAGGATCAAGGACACCTTTCCACAAATATTCTTTACAACAAATATGCTGTGACTTTCAAAAGTCTTCCAATTCATTTCGCATCCTTCAACAAACAAGACCAGACTGTCCATACTTAGAGTCCCTTCCAAGCGAACACGTATTTTCCTTGCAAACTGATGACAACCAGCAGGGCCTTTCATTATCAAAGCCCCTTTTGCAGGATTGTCCTGGAAAAAGGCTCCCATGGTGACCAGTCGTAAAATCACACTGCCAAGTGGTGGTACCTTGTCTCTGCCAATACCTCCATCTCCAACACCCAGAAACCAGTCCCCAACGGGAAAGGTCACCTTGGGAAAACATACTCAATTACAATGAAGAATGAAGGACAAATGAAGCCTCATAAGAATTCGGGAGATATGTTCACATTCAAATCGCTAAGTTTTGATCCAACCTCTTCAAGCGGCCAGCAGACTCCACCTCACGTTCTGTTCCTAAAATGTGTGCATCACAGCTTCAATGTCGGTGGAGCTTTCGAAACACATCGAGATGCCAACATCACGCAACCAGAGTTCATCTTTGGCTCGGCCTCAGAGCGATCCGGTGAGCCAAGGAACTGTCCCACCGCCGCACCACACTGCCAGATTTTCAAAACGACCAAGCATGACCAAGCAAGCAGCTCGCTGACGGTCCGTTTGCCTCTGCAGGAACCGGAAAGAATGCTGAAGAACACATGTAAGAAGATGAAACATGCAATCGCAATGAAAGAATACGATGGACAAATCTAACCACCTACATCACCTGCCCTCAGTGCAGCATTCCGCCTGGCCAACCAACTCGCCCGTGGTGTTCACAGGAGTCTGGGCCAAGTCCTGCCACCGTCGTCGTCTCAAACCAAGAAATTGAGCACTCAGCCTGTCCTGATCCTGAGGATCTGCCTGAAAGCTCACTGCCTCCGAGTTTATGCAACGGGATGACCAAAAAAAAATGCGGCTGGCCATGATATTAGCCACTTATTGGCTAATGATGGCCGCTGATTAGCCATGCCTTAGGATGTTCCGCATGCCAGGCTGCCGCCACGGCCTACGGACAAAGATTGATGGTTTCCGCGGATTCAGCCGCTGAGCTCCTGAAGTATAATGCTTCTGACGGAAGGCTCAGTTTGGTGCATCCTTCCCCGCAGAAGCGCCCATGAAAAAAAGTGGATGGTGCGCACAGCACCCATTCCGCAGATTGGACAAATGTGTCAAAAGACTGAAGTCCTTGAGGGTTACTTGAGGTCAGTGCCGTAAAGTTTTGTCGAGAGTGTTGGAATTTCGCAATAGTTGCCCTGTAGCCCTGTACTAGCTAAAATCAGCTAAAATGCGTCGGACCGGTCCAGGGATGTACACTTCAGATTAAGATGCACATGGGCGGAGGAATGGAAATCCAATGCCATGCAACGCTGCTCAATTCAAATTGCTTCGCCCAACAACGAATTTCACTATATATATCAAATTTCACTACCGAAGCAAAAGGGATCGATAATGCTCTGACTACCAGAAGCACAATTTCGCAACTCAACACAGCGCATCCTCGTAAAAACGAGAAGCATCTGCCGGTGATACAATTGCTTTTCGCAAAAGCAACATTCGCAAAAGCAGCACAGCTCCAATCAGTGTCTTAGGTGTCGAACTTGGGAACTGCTTTTTGTGCAACATGTGGGTGTTTTGCATGGAGATCCTTGCCAGTAGTATTTACAACACGTGGGACACATTTCTGGTGGTATTCATCTCCCTGTCTGTACTTCACTCATCAAAGTTGGATCAGCGCGGAAACGCAGCTAGCTCAGCTTCTTCTTTTTGGGTTTGAAAGCCTTCCAGAGCAAGGGACCCTGAAAAGACCAAAAATTCCCAATTGTTACTGGCAAACTCTAATATTTGGGATAACAGCAGTGTCTGTGCTGTCATTGCTGATAATCATACACTGTGTAGATTCCTGAAATATCAAGTGCAGGCAGACTTGTAGCAGTTTCAAGAAATCATCTGAATGTTTGAAAATAAACTTAAGCCAGTTGCCTTCCAAAGCAACAAGGAAATCTTGAATACAGCCGAGTGAAACCCTGGTTGATTGTGCCCATAGTGTTGCCTTCGATGCTTCTTTGGCAGCATCAGCCCATTTTTCTGCTTCATCTGCAAACCTCAGCTGTCCCGGGTTCAAGGTCGGTTCAAGGAGTTCAAGGTCGGGGAGATTCCTAGACTGTCCGGACTCCACAACAGAACATCTGAAACGTCAAAGCTCAGCAATCCACTTTTGGACGCGTACAGCTGATCGTGCAAGTTCTGGAGCCACATCCTCAACCTAGAACTCTAGAACTCAACTCAGCTTCATCTTCTGATTCTAAACACGTAAGTAGGCTGAAAAGAATAGGAATTTGCATGATGGAAAAACATGGAAAAAAAAAAACAGAAAAAAAAAACATCCTTCACTGCTGATTGACTTCTCGAACCAAGTCCCACCGTCATAGCTGCAGGTGCGGGTGCAGACGCTTGTGCAGGAGCTGGCGCGGCCTTAGTCTATGCCGTGGCAAGCTGTTTGCTTGTGTTTCCGTACACCTTTGCAGTTCATGGATGTTCATGGATGTTCATGGATGTTCATGGATGTTCATGGATGTTCATGGTCCAAAATCCTCACTCCAAATATAAGGCTTATAATTTATAAATATAAGGTGTGCGTAATGTGTGTTTGTGTCATGAGTGCACATCAACAGTTCGCTCACAATCTCACAGTATCACAACATCACAGCAAAGCCAAGCAGCAGCAGCTTCTATTTTTACTGGCTATTTGCTCCCAACTTTGGGGAGGTCTCTCATTGACGCAACTTGGCAAGTCGGATCGCCCCCTCAACTGGCCTCCTGCACACTGTTCTTTGACTTGTCCTGCAAAAGCTCCAAACTCGAACATGACCCAACCAGCTCTCCAGCAACGGCAAACTCATGACTAATGACTTGTAATGACTTGTATGTCTCACACCTCAGAAACCCATAAATATTTGAAATGCCCGGTCCTGGTGTTGACGTTTTCGCTCCTGTATAGGTGTCAGATTCGCGCTTTACAAATGTGACAAAGTCTGAGGTTCAAAAGCAAAAGGACGCTGATAAGACTGTGTTGTTCTATTTGCAACCTTTCCTTTGTCCTTTATTCAAGGCTCAAAGGCAGCACGTTGGAATCCACGGAAAAATGCAAGGGAACAAAACTCTGTAAGTTTCTGTCTTTTCTCGCTTGGATCTTCACAAAGTGCACATTTGTGCGCTGGTGAATTCTGGCTTAAGGCTTAAGGCATCTTAAAGCCAAAGGAGATTGACTGGATTAAACATGAGCCTTCATGGCAGCACCACGCTGGGGTATTTTAAACTTCGTCTGGGCGAGGGGAACACCTGTGCACTTCTGCACCCCTGGCATTGCTCCGGGCAAAGCCAACCCCAGATCCAGCCGGCCATCAGAAGTGCAAAACCAAGGCTGTGACCTCTGGTGACTTTGGTGACTTTGGACATGCAGAATTGCACCAGTGCACGAAGAATCGAAGACTTCACTCTGCATCTAAAAGAAAGTCATCAAAGTCATCTTCAACGACGCCTCGATCACGTGCACTCTGCTGCCGCCTCTTCTCCACTTGATAATCAACTCGTTTTTTCTGCTTGACACTTCTGGTGCCTTTGGCTTCTTTTGTCCATCCCTTCGTGAACATCTCCTTCTGATCATAGTACATGTCCACAGAATCCCCGGTTGTGTGCAACCTCTGAAGAACTGGTTCTTGCGGAACAGCAGGCCCCGTTCTCACAACAGGAGCACCACCAGGGCCTGGCTTTCGCTTTTGATTGGAGACCGTTGTCCATGCAGGAGACCCTGGTGGACTAAATTGTCTAGTGAACGCAGGAGAACCAGGTGGACTGATTTGGCGAGTGAAGGCTGGAGAGGGCGGGCACTGCCCTACAGGGCTCACTTGTCCCAATGGCAACGCAGTGGTCACAGCAGCTGTCACAGCGTGCTGCAGAGGCATTGGTCTGGGACGAGCATTCTGCGTGGTGCTTGGATCGGGGCCTGGAGAGCCGGATCGCTGCCTTGTGAGACCAATATTCTCCGTGTCTGGACGTTGCATAGCCGTCCAAGTTGGGCTTGTTGGGATCAAATCAAGCACACTTCCACCCGGCCGAATCTGTGGACTTCCACTTGTTGGCACATGTCCACTTGTGGGCACATGTCCTCCGGGCACATGCCCAGTGGGCAAATGCGCACCTGCCATGCTGGGCGGAAGTTCCCCGAAAGACATAGGCATTGCGGGAACCGGATTGAAAGCATACCCAGCGGATGGTGACGCAAATGACAGGCATGGAGAAGCATGTGGCGACTCCAGGACCCTGAAGGTGCTGCCAAAAAAGACCTTGCCGTGCTTGTCCGGCGCCATTGGTCGCTGAGTCATCAAATATCACAGCTGAGAAACTGTCTCCCGTGCAAATTCAAGAGTGTTTCATTGGAAAAATGAATGTCAGATCATTATTGTCAAAGAAGTCGTGTCGATACTGTTGCCCTGGTTGCTTGCAGTTTTTGTTTGACTGCAGTGACTACCTTGAAACTGAATGTTGCCATCAGGGAGCATGAAATCAACACATCAACACACAGTAAGGATTGCTTCGAAGTACAGTCTACTCGCAACTGTACCCTAACATGCTGAGATATGCTGAGCACATTTCCATTCGCCTTCTTGAGCTGCTTCCGGCTTTTTGCCTTGGCCAATGGCCTGCAATTTTCGCTATCGACAAACGGTTTGTTTGGGATGTCTTGGAAGAGAGGAAACGACGGATCAAAGCATATAAAAAGCATTAAATGTATCCAGTCAAGCCTGAGTTTGTCGTTGGAACTCAGAGAAGTCAGAGAGGCACCGAACAAGTTCAAAGAACCAAGCGCATTAACGGAGAAAGCCTTGCCTCTGATTGCTTGCTTTCGATGCTGCTTCTGCGGCAGTTTTCGCTAGAGCATTTCTAGCCTGGAATTCAAGTTTCGCAGTGTTCGAGAACAATCCCAAAGTCCAGACACTCAGCCCTCTACAGCTGAGAACCAAGAATTAAGCATAGACATGCATAGATCCAAACTGCAGAAAGGTGATTGAACTCCAATTTCGTCCCGAGTACTCCAACACCGGCAGTAACACCCTAAAGCAAGAGCAGACACGTTGCTGGTGTAGCTTTGAATGGAGTCAAGTCGGAAAAGAATTATATACAACAAGGATGAAACTCAGCAGGCTGATATGTCATGTGGTGCGTCATGTCATGTCTGTTTTGACAATGCCGTCTGGGTATGTCGTGGCTGCAAGATGTGAAGCATTTGGTTTTCCCTTTGCCTCGCCACCATGAATGCGAGCCAGCTCGGCTGCTTCTTCTGCCTCTCCCAACGCTGGAGGCTTCAAGAAAAGATTCTGTGTAACATCACAGTATCACACAGTATCACACAGTATCACACAGTATCACACAGAATCCCATACTCACAAACCTACCCTGCAGATCCCTACATCCAAAAGAATCGGCTTGAGGCCGGGGAGGTACGAAACTACTATTGTTGTACGTTGCTGACTCGGTTGTTTTTAGTTGCTGAATCGTAGTCAAACCACCAGCCAAAGGGGGATTGAAGCCGGGCCTGCTTGGGGGTGAGGAGGTGGGGGATGTTTCTAGGAATTCAACGGTGCTGGCGCCTGCCTATTCCTTGCTAAAGCAAGAGCAACTTCAGCTAACACAAGCTAGCTTTGGCTTTAGGAAATCAAACATCAAAGATCGTTCCGAAGCAAGCCAGCTGAACCAGCTTCTTCAAATGTCGCCTGCGTGCAAACACTGATTTGCAATTTGCAGTTCACTATGGGTGGCACAAATGGTTTTCCAAAAGATGCCCAAAGCAAAATTAACAGTCATCTAATTCGCCTGGCACCAGAGACGTTGCTAGGATCGAAGCTTTTCCCATCCTGCAAGTGCTCTGTGACCAGTAGGCATCCGTTGGCATCCAGTAGCATCTAGTAGCTGTGTTGCTTAGTGAAAGCTGAAATACATCGCAGTGAGCCTGTATGACAACGCGCACGTGTCGACCACCTGCACGACGCAATGCGAAGCAGGCACCATACAGGCTCACGTAGAAACATTGGGTAATATCTTTGTATAATCTTACATTATAAAACTATTTCATACTATTTCTATAGAATGTTCTCTTATCAGATCCTTTCGTCCAGCCTGCTGCAGACTGTACTCGAGTCCCTGGAATGTTTTCGTATTTTGCCTCACAAAATCACACCAGGCCCTGGAAGATACAACAAGTCAGAGAAGGTTCTTGAGGACATTCTGAATTTGGAATAGATGGCCTTTGTCAAAGCCACATTGCAGCTGGTAGAACCTGCTGTGCTGTTCAGCAGCTGACAGGGGAAGAACACAGGATCCAAATGGGATCGAAATGAGCCCTGGACCCTTCTTACGTTGTGAGGGCCTATCGTCCACAATGTAGTCACGCTTTGCCTTGGGCCTTGGGACAAAAAGGTTCATTTGAAGCAAGTTGTGATATGTTGTGATTGCCAAATATTGCCGAAGTGGTCATGTCAATCTATGTCAATCACGTCAACTGTATGACAAAAATGAAATTCAACCGGAAGGAATTTCATCCCTATCCGTGGGCGCACACTCTCGCTGAGCAGACTGGGGAAGCTGCAGCATCTTAACCTTTGCAATGGACGGCCAGTACTCACAATATTAGCCATTTAGCTTACATCTTTGCCTCAACGGCAAATTCCACTGTGTATCGCTCAAGTAATGAAACTGTCTCTTGGCAGCAATGGATCTTGGCACTTCGTGCTTTCTGCAGCTGCGTAACTGTGCGTGATTTTTGTGCTTCCCTCTTTGCGGTTGACCGCCATCTCTTTGATCCAAAGCCAACCTTGGCAACGCAGGTGACCGGTTGACTCAATGACTCAATCATTCACCAATTGTTTGGTTAGAACATGTGCAAACCCAAGCTCCCGGCTTTCCGTGCCATCTGGACAAACTACATGCGGCACAATTCTTCGAGGTCTTGAGAATGAGATCAAATGAAAGTAAATATAAGATGGATTCTATATGATTCTATAATATATACATTTGTATATATATATATATGTGTGTGTACATATGTATGTATACATACGTATGTATACACCATTTCTTATCTGAAAACTAGATCACAGTGCTTTGTCTTGTCCCTTGTCGTGTCTCTGACTTGTGCAAGTGCAGCTAGATACAGGCTCTGTTCTTCTGAACATCACTGGCCCTCATTGACTGCTTAGTATTTTTCCCGTCATTCTGTCTGAGAAAGTGCAGCTTGATGCAGTTGGACCCAAGCACAAAAGCGTTCAATGTCCACCTACATCAAGAGATGGCTGTGTAGTGATGCTGCAAAGTCAGAGATCCATAAACCCCTCTTTTCTGTTTTCTAAGTGTTTCATCCTGAAGGATTCTAGAGATCGGTAACTTTGAGGGACAAGTGCAGAGCTGAGCTCTCTTCTAGCGGAGATGGGCTGGGTGCAGGTGCCACTGCGGCAGCAACCTCAAGAACTGATGAAAAGAGAACTTCGGACCGGACCTGAACTGACATTCAAAGCATCAAGGACACTGTGCTCGTAGTTTATTCAATCTGAAGTCAAATCAAGTTTGGAACGGAAGCAGAAGCTGGGATCCTAGCTGCCGCAGTTGCGATCAGCACCCACAGACTCTTCATTCAGTGGCCAAACCAGCGGCCCGGGAGCCAAAACGGCCTCTTGCATAGTTCAAATCAAAAACATGTAAAAACATTATGACATATTAATTATTATGATACTATAATATATATATATATATTGACATTGAGATACACTGAGATACATCGAGACATACTAAAACTATTGAAATGAAATAAAGTGAAATGAAATGAAATGAATGCTTGCCGTTGAAACTTGCTGTATGAGCAGTACCTCGGGCTGTGTTGCATTTGCTCAGAGCACACTGCGGCGCCCAAGGCTGTAGCCGTTTTTCATCGTCTTTTCATCGTGACACTGCGTCACATTCACAAAATGTCACAAATAACAAATATGTACACTTGACGTCCTTTCGAGCAAACGCCAGAGTCACTCATTCAAATACCTGGTTTCAGCACCCAACATTAATCCGTCGGTGCATCTGTTGGAAAGCTTATCTAAAACCCGAGACTCTGCGACTCTGAGGTGCCTGCCATATCAAGGATTGCAGAGTCTCTGTCTGCACTATGCCCCACGTACCTACAGTGTCATCACACCACATTGGAGATCCAGCTGACTCTGGCAGGACATCTCAAATTGAAACCCTCATATACATCAGTCTACTGTACTGGAATAGCCATTTCAGAAAACGACACTATAAGGCAGCTGCAAGTGATTGCCACAGATCTGCTCTGCAATGTAAAAGCCTGAATATAGAGCCAACAGAGCCAAGGCTGAGCCAAGGCAGTGGTTCGGAGGAAGTCAAAATAAATGTTGCTGCTTGATGCTGCTTGTTCCATCTTGTTCCCAACCTGCACAGGATCTTTGGGAAGGTGGCAGCATGTCTGTCCACGCCTTACAGTCAACTTTGGAGAAGAGTCTTTCAGGCAGACCACGCCTTTTCATAGGCTGCTGGTAGTGTTTTTGCCAAGTAGCACAAAGGAGTTTGCACGACTCTGGAGGACAAGAAGTGTCCACTATCACCTGAACTGGACATGACTGGACATTATCAAACACACAATGAATCCCCTGGCAGAAACAGTTGCTCAAAATAATCCAATGGGAGTCTACCTAGACCGTCTAACTAGACTGTCAAACTAGACAGTTAGATAGATCAAGTTAGATCATGTTCACTTGGTGTCACTCGTCGGTGTCACTTGTGATGGCCCGCCTTGTATGGAGAGGCCTTGCTCTCGTGGGAATAAGCAGCCAACCATCCGCCGAATCGAAGGTGATTGACAGGCTGACAGGGCAACAGCGAATTCATGCGAGGTAATAAGATTTGGCACAAACTCCAGTAAACAAGAAACATGCTATAACAGTGTAGAATGACATACGGCACTACACTTCAGCAGTATGAGGTTGAAACTTCATACTGTCCTCTGACTTTCAGCAGTTTCTACATATGAGGCCTTGAAGGACAGCCAATGTTGATGAAAGTCAGAGGTCGCATCCATGACGCGCAAAGTGTACCTCAATAGTCTACGCAGTGACTTGATTCACGGACCAAAAAGACCAAGTCAGAGCACGTATCGGGGACCATCACATCACGCCAGTAGACCTGACAAAGCAGAAGCTTAGCGCGCACATTTCAGCTGAAACAAATTAAGACTTAAAGCAGTCCTGTAAGATCTGTAAGTTCAAGAAACATCAAGAAACCAGCTACACAGCTACAAATCCCTGGCCTGATGCATTTCGATGGAGACGGCATGCTTCTCATCTCCAGTGACAGCCCAGCCCTGCAATCAAAATATGTGGACCCCGGGGACCTCTTTGTATCAAGAATTGTGGCTCTGCAATTCCTTCAGCAGTTCTGTAAGTGAGCCGTTGGGTGGTGAACAATTTGTGCCGCTTGTGGGTTAGCCGGGGTCCCAGCATCTTGGCTGAGGCACAAATATCTCTCTGATCCATGCCACCTCCAATCAAAACAAGCAGAACAAACTGAACAAACGACCGTACAGTCCGTACGCACCCTACATGTTTCATGTTTTTTCAGAAGTGTTGAAAGAAAAGTTCCAAGTGCCTCAGCTTGACACGCTTCATCCGAAGATTGTTTATCCTGCGACGTGCGAGACTCTTTTTGCAGAACTCTCCGAACTGTGCCGAACCGCCCTCAACTTCCCTAGTCCCTAGTCTAAGTAGGCCGGCCTGCATCCTGCTATGCAAGCAATGCTCTTCTCTGCAGGTTCTTGAAGGCTCCCGTTGGAACGGGCGATCTAGCAGGCGCACTTTAGCAAAGGTGAATGTCTGAAATTGTTGGCAAACAAATATGGCAATACCAACAATACCTTCAACATTTGGCTTGCCTTGCTTCACTGTGAAACGTGAAGTTCAGAACAGAAACCTTCCATCACTTCATAAAGGAAGTAGTGTGAAGGTCGGCAGTGCCACCATGAAACAAGACAAAACAAGACAAACACTGCCTAGCCAAGTTTAGACATGTTTAGACTAGAGAAGGCCACACGCCCTTGCCTCGGGGTAGAAAATTTCAAATGCCCAGCGAAACATACCCATTCCCATCCTGGCTGGGGAAAGTTAAAGCCAGAAAATAAATCCAAATGATGGATCAAACTGATCAAATCAAGCAACGAGCTAACCAACTGATGCAGCACTGATGCACATGGTCGAAAGACTTGTTAGCTCAAACCCTTTCAGGTTGCTGGAAATGCTTCCGAAATGCGGTTAAATGAAATACTGTGACGTAATCACATTGCTGTAAATCACTGGACCTTTTGCTTGCATTGTCGCTGCTTTGTGAAGCCACCCCTAGAGTTCTGTGCAGAGACAGTCTTCGTTGTTTTCGCCACATTACTTGCTGGTGAGCGCACAGAATCACAACATATCACAACACATCAACACAAGCACACCAGTCTGACACATTTTGAAACAGTTTGACACTGGTCGCAAGTGCATCTCAAGGGTATGTCAGGCGGACCCGTTGTAGAGCTGGTCCGGGACCGCAATGAAGCTGCAGAGGAAGTTGTTGTTGAGTAAGGGAGGTAGTGCCATCAAGCAGAAATGAGAAGCCGGAAATGCAGCAGAGCAACCAAATCGATCCCATCAAGACATAGATCAAGAGTAGCCGAAACAACCTAATGTGAGCTTCAGTGGATCAGGGCTGGCTGAAGAATTTTGTCTTCCCATGTGTGTGCATGTGTCAGCATGTTGCAAGCTGGAGCAATCCACAAAAACTGAAATATAAGCTCCTGACCAGCTTATCAAACCAACACTGTGAATGTAGAAACCTCGCAATCCAAGCAGACCCCTTACATCAATTTGTAGTAAAATTAGTAAAGAATCTTAATTCACTTGGAGCCCGACATTGAACTAGCGCCGGAGCTGCAACTAGTCCGAGTCTGAAAACCGCAAAGCAGTCAAATGATTCCAAATGAGTCCAAATGAGCAAAATCTTTGCATCAAATTGCAGTTGTGCTCACAACAAGCATCTCTGCAGACTTCTGCCTCATCAGATTTAGTGAACGCGCCATCACCTGGACATGCTGCAAAGACTCTACTTCTCTCCCCCCACACCTGCTTTGAGTGGCCTCATTGACCGTTGTCATCATCTTTGTGGTGGATATTCCATCCTATCAAAATACAGGATTGGCTCAGCAGAAGAAGAAAAAAATTGAATAAAAAATTGTGAAAGTATTTCATAGTATTTCAGAATATTTATTGTATATTTCGGTATTTCGAACGATGGTAAGCCTCGGCAGTCTCACACTCCATGGACTTGAGACGAATGTGATATATCATATCAGTGATATCAAATAAGAAAAACGTGTTTTCGAAAGTATAGATCCGCACATTCCACGCATCTTGGTTGGGACTACTTCAAACACAGAAAAAATATAGTACATGATATGGTGACCGAAAGCATCAGAGCCAATGTCTGGAAACTTGTGCATAGAGGGATTGTATGGGATTGCAGTTTCTGTTTCAATTTCGTCAGCAGAGGTGGCCGAAGTTGCAGCATAGTGCTGTAGATGCTGTAGGTTGCAACGAAGCAAGAAAGTCTCTGTTTGGAGTCCTCCACAGAACTTGGAAGGTTGACCCCAACCCTGGCAGCGCTTTGCTTTGAGATTTGAGTCAATCGAGCAACTTCAACCAAAGGAATCCGATAAATATGCAGGCCTGAAGTGAGCCTTAGAAGACTTATTCCACAGCACATGTGCGACTACTTGGTCGAGCACTTGGTCACTTGGAAATTCTCTAAGTCTACAATAAGTCTTCTACAAATCTATGAATGTCTATGAAGTACAAAACTCATTCAGAAAGTGTCTGACATTTGGCAGGTCATAAGTCCCGCACTGGATCTGACCAACGCTCCATCACTGCAGTGCACTGCAGGGGGGATCTCCGGCTTTAAGATACTGCACACACATCTGCACACTGCAAATTTTGCACATGGATCGTTCCTGCTTACTGCCACTGGTGAAAGGCATTTTTTGTGTACAAGATTTGGCTTCGCTTTTTGCGTTTTGACAAAGCACAAGCGGTTTAAGTTGCTTAGCCAGTAGACGGCGGGTGTTCACAATCCGAACAGCAAGACCTCAACACAATCTCAAATCCTTCAATCTGAATCGGTAGAGCAAGCAGGCAACATATGGACATGGGAACAGTAGGCTGTGATGTTTGGCCTTTTCAAATCAAATTGCTGTTTGTCACATTTTGTCACCATTCGCTGGCGTTCGAGGTCTCCTTGCATCTTTGGCAAAGGATTCCAATTGCCGAGCTCTCCAAGACGGCCCTTCAGCTGCAACTGTGGCCTTCCAGGCTGCTGCGGCCAAGGATCTTGCAGCAGAGACACGGCGTGATTTCAAAGCTCGTCGGAAGGCCCCGAAAAAGACCAGCGCTCGTGCTGCCGGATTTCCACCAAACTCTTCGTCCAGTAAATCTACAGTCTCTCTGAGAGCATCTCGCATATCAATCCGTTCAACAACATCGTCGTCCACAATGCTTGAGCTGCTTGAGCTGCTTGGTCCTCTCTTTGATGCTTGCGCAGTCATTTCCGAGACGACCTCCTTGTCCACCTCAAAGAACAACGGCATTCGTGGTCTCAAGTTCAACCAAATAATGGAGTCTGATGTGTCTTCCACTGCCTCCTCTCGGGAAAATGCATCGCAAAGCTGTGATAACCGCTCACGTCGCCAGTCGCTAGCACCTTTCGACCGCGAACAAGATTCACACATGCAATCAAAGCCAAATCGATCACTAATCTCTCCTAGTCTTTCATTAGCAGGAGCACACAAAGTCAAGAGCGACAAGTAAGAGATGCAAAGTTCTTGCCCTCGGTCAATATCACAGGTTGAGCGCAACACCTGAACTTGCCTATCTTCCTGCCAGCTATTGTGCACGTTTGGCTTGCAGCTGTGGTTGAATCTGGAAAGAAGCAAAAATAGGCCAGCAGAATCTTCAGACAGTCCAATGCCGTTTGTCCGAGCTATTCCAAGAGCTGTCTTGACACTCTCGCTGCACGAGTCCGCAAGATCCCAGAACTTTGAAAAAACTTCTTCGTTGCATCTTGACTTTAATGTCTCTCTCAAGCTCGTATCCCACTTGTCAAATGACGTCTCATCTACCAGAATCTCCTGCAAGTCACCAAATAGGACGTCAAAGGATTGGTCTTGAAAAACCAACAACGGAGCTTCTTCCAACAAGAGTTCTCCCCGCTTGATCGGCTTGGTAGCTACCACACCTAAGCCTTTTTTCCCCACAGGTCTCACTTCAAATGCGTCACTCGCATAATCAATGCCATCATCATTCGAGGCTGCAGCTTCCGGGTTTGTTCTGGTGCTTCTTACAACTGCCTTCAATCTAGTCTTGGACCTCTTGGACCTCGACAGAAACATCCCTGCAATTGCACAAGCCACTGGACTCACTAGACCTGTACCACCTGTACCACCACCTTTCACCCAGGATGGCCTCACGGTCGGAATTGGACTGTGATCGGCCAGAGAAGACACTTCATGGAGCTGTGGCCGAACGGCGCAAGCATTCGAAATGCTCCAATGGTGCAGCACCATTCCGATTTTTATCACGAATGCACTTCGTGCCTTCTGGAGATTACTTGTAGCATACACTTGCATAGTAGACTTGCGTAAGGCAATTTACGTCAAATTGCAACACACATTGAGCTCTCTCTCTCTCTCTCTCTCTTACTTCAACGCAAACAGTACAGCAATACAGCCTGATATTTCCACAACTGATGGTTCTTTAAATCATAGACAAGAGAGCAAGAACTGGATATTGTGTACTCAGTTCTCAACATGACACAAGATTTCCAATTTCATGACTTGGATATTCAAGCCTCCTAAACTTGAGCACCACTTTCTGCGTCTGTGAAGCAGTTTACTTCCAAGACATTTGCATCTTGAGAAAATAAATAGATAGCGAAAAAAGAATCGCTGGGACCAATAGTCATATCATACTTAATGGCCGCTGGTGAAAATGCTTCATTGTTTCACCCCTGTTTTGCACTCAGCAACCTCAGCTGTTCTCAAACAAAGGGCAGCCCACAGCCTTGGATGGGTTCCGATTGACCAGAAAGCTGGTGAAGTGTCTGTTTGCACCCCAGGACTGAGCTTCGTTGAAACAAGCTGGGCAACGTTTGAAACAACCAAAACATATCAAGAATTCTTCAATTCTGCAATGAGTTTCGGACTTCAGCAACTTATCCGCATAACACTCATGTCGTCTGATGTTTCTGGGCCTGGCGGATCCCAATCTTGGCTCCAGTGAAGCACCTGAGCCTAGTCAGATCCAGCTCAGTCATTCTCAGCCTATAGTCTTGTACAGTCAGAGTATTGTTACGCAAAGTCAACTTCTAACCCACTTTTAAAACGGTTCTTGATGGTTCTTGCCATTCCATGACAATGTATTTGATTATTGCATCAACAAACGCACATTCTTGACCATTCTTGAAACAGTGCTCAAGATAAGTAACATGTTTATCCGTCGCGTCAGGCTTCAAAGGCGCCAACTTACAAGCAAGAATCAGAGCGCCAGCCCCTATGGAAGAATCTAACCGACTCAATGTTGTGAAACGGCGCAGAGTCTGCTGCTCTGCTACTCTGTACAATAAAGGAGTGAGCGCAGTCATGACCTTCGGCAACGCATCAGGAATTTCCAATCAACAAACAATATTAGTCCAGCACTTGGCAACCAGCCTGCAGCAACAGAACGTTGACATCAAGCCGTAGTCATATGTTTTCAGCACTTTGATGCGAACTCGTATGCTACCTGCAGATCAAATTCAGGAAGCATCCAGGGTTCGACATCCGTGACGGTCTTGTCAGTGTGTGGCACTAGATTGAGACATCTGACCATCTCAATTTTGGTCATGTGTTTCTCCTTTGTTTCTTGCCTTGTGCAAGTGCACCTGTGAGTTTCAAGTCTCCCTCGAAAACTTCGTCAGGAACAAGCCTGACAGGGCAGGGTCAGTGTCGGACGACGGGTGTCAGAAAAAAGGTGTTGTTTTCTGACGCCGTCTACGTTCTCGGTTTCGACTTTGCATCAGCACAGCTCCCGATTTGCTTCTTGGATATTGTTTGAAGCATAGTAGATAGAAATTGGCCACAACTGCCACAACTTGCAACATGAATGCAGCACACTCGTCAAGGGGAATTTCACCTACACCATAGCTCACTGAAAGTCCTAGTCCTGAACCACCACGCCTTTTCGAGTGAAAAGTAGCTTTGCCCAGAAAATCGTCAACAGAGCACGCATCTTCATCCCAGACTTCAAATTCCAGGAGTTTTCGTGAGTCCTTGGTGCCCGCGCAAGGATTCTCAAATTTGACTAAGATGATAGCTATGCACGAAAGGGCTTGTCAAATGCCAAGAGACCAGTTCCAGAATAGATGTTCGATTCCAAACCGGATTGAGTGTATTTTGAAGACAGTGCGTCTTAAATTTTGTCCTGCAGCACACCAATTGGCCAAAGTATGAGGATCAAGGTAAAGGTTTGCCAAGGAATGCAGAGATGACACAGTGAGCACACACGTTCGATTCCGCTCTGTTACCCACTAATTAATGCATAAATATGTGCACAACATGTATGTATGTATGTATGTATGTATGTATATATACATTTAAAGAGTATATTATTCTATGTATATATAGATATACATTGTAATAATATATATATAGTGTAATTATAATATATATATGTATAAACTATATGTGTGTATATATATATACAGTATATAGTCGTGTAAAGTTGCAAGCAGCCCAGGTGCTGAATGATATGTCGTGCAAGCAATGACACGGTTGATAGCTCACTCCATCTGCCTTCTCTTAGCCGCTGCTGCGCAGCTCTTCTACTGGACCGTTCGACTAACAAATGAGCTACAGTAGCCCACTATTAACATGCCCACAAGCTGGCTCATACACAAGCAACACATATTTCCCTGCAAAAAAAAGTGCCACACAGGCACGGCTGCAGGCAGCACACTAGACAGTGAGCAGACTGCAGCCAGCCCAATCCACCAAAGGGCACTTGGGTCCTAGAACAAGCAACCCATGCGCTGAACTCGGGCGGGCGGGCAGCCGGTCACTTTTCTGCAGCTGCCCAACCACCCAACCATGCTCTGCAGATGCATTTCCAGCAAGCAAAACCAACATCAGCAACATGCTCCAACATAATTCCATCATGCCAAGCTCACTAAGCAAACACACAGGGGAGGGGCAGCAGTATTTAGTTGGGTTAGTCAGGCGCACTGGCCGTATCCCAGCCCACCCAAGGGCCCCAGGGCAAGTCTTGATGGGGAACATGAGCACGTTGGAGGCAACCATGTTAATACAAAATTGTATGCATTATATCTAGTATAAGTCGTATATGTGTGGAGTTCCAGACAAACGCATCTCTGCAGAGACATGCAGAGACTGGCATTTTCTATCTGGGAGAGAACCTCTCAGAGAGGTAAGCATTGGCACAGAGAAAATCATGTACAAGTTATCAGAACCTCTGACAAACACGGACATAGACTGATTACCTTCACACGACAAGAGAACACACATGTCTGTCAAAAACCTCGGCAACACACCCATTAAGGTCAAAACGCGAGCTTATCCAAGTTTGAGCATCACCAAATTACTTTAACGCTTCTGATGCTCTGCGAAAAGAGTCTGTCCGAACAAGTGCAGCCACTGCAACAACCGTGCAAACAATCTAAGTAGAACAGCTTGTGATAAGGACAAGAAATTGTATGACATGCCAAAGTGAGCGCTGATATCCTAATAACGGTCATACTCTGTGGCCACTTTGTTGGTGCATCGCTCGCAGAGATGGATGTGCTTGCCTGAATTTCATTTGGCAAACAAAAAGAAATAGGGGAACAAAGAGAGGAGGCAGAAGTTCTACATCTCTGCCTCTCTGCAATTTTTCCTCATGCGCGCACGCACAAACAAACAAACAAACAGACAGACAAACAAACGGACAACCGGGCAACCGGGCAAGCGAGCAAGCGAGCAAGCAAGCAAACAGGCACTGAACCGTCAAATTGGTTTTACCTGCTAAGAAATTCAGAAACTACATGCAATGAACTATGGTTTGGTTTGCTTTGGTTCGTGGTCAGCACCAGTAGGTGAGACCGGGCCTGCACTTCCCCCCGGCCAAAGCTTGGGGTTCAAATCGGCCATCTAGAACTAACGCAGCCAAGACGCAGCTTCTCAAGGAAAGAAAATTATGAAGAAAAAAAGGCCGAGCAACAACGTGAAGCGCCGTGCCAGCACTGGGCGCAGAAGGGAACAAGGGATAGAGAAAGAAAAAGATCGAGGTATTGCAAAGGGTCCGGGACCGGCGGACAGCAAACCAGGCGCAAAGAAGATTGACAAACAAGAAAGTGGAGGAATAAAGGGGAAACACCGGACATAGGGTCAAAGGGGGTCAAGACAAAGCCGAACAACAAAGAACCTCAGCAAAAAGAATGGCGAGGGAAGATATGGAACGGCCATTGATCCTGAAAAGGATAGTCGGGGCTCATACGGCGGGTGGGAATTGCAATACTCAATAGCGATCTACGGCCTTGTTGGGATATTGCCAAGCACAAAAGCACAGCACTCAGCACATGTCTGCTGAGGCGAAACCCCATACATACCAGGTCTCCGACGCTGGTGGGAAGAATATGGAAGATGACAATCAGCTTGACACATAGAGGCTGATGCGCCTGTTCATTGGTGATGCACATGTCAGGGAGCCCGGCGGGCGCAAACATGAAGAATAGAGATAGCTTTGCGCAGTCTGGTTCTGCCACAGAGCGAAAATACCGAAATTGGTGTGCTGGTCGAGGAGTTCCATTCAAGGAAATGTGGTTCAGACAAAGACATGTAGGGAAGCCACTAGGCCAACTTATATCTAACCGGTGATAGATTCGGAGCCTAGACTCAAGAACACGCGCTGAAGCGCGGTAGACTTCACCATAAGCCACAAGCCAAGGAGGACAGGCTGCTCAGCAACTGGCAATGCTCCCAATAGGAATGCTATCAACTATTCAAAAACCCGGTTGCACTCGCACACTTGGCTGGGCCCAAAACTGCGATAGCCCATCAAAGCCAAGCTGTAAGTTTCGGAGAGGCCTGTCCTGCCAGTTGTACGGAGGCAACAGGAAGAAGACACAGAAGAGTCGAGCGCTGGAAGACGGATGAACAAAGGAGCAGGCAAGGAGGTTTTCAGGGCTGCCCTCTACATGCCTAGTGGCGGTGGCGAACAAACAAAGAAGAAAGACAGAACTCAAATTCTCAAGTTGGACAAAAGCGCTGGGTATACGCCAGCAGTGAGGGAGCATGGTCACCGCCTCAAACCCTCAAACTTCCACCAAGATGTTGGGTAGAAGATGGCTAGGAAGGCACATACCCGGCACAGGGCGCGAAAACGAAAAGACGAAGGTGGAGGTTGCGAGCAAGAGATCACAATCATCTGCAAAATAGATGGAACCTAGTCCAGAATCAAGCGACTCAGTAGCCGATGAAAGGGATCCTGTAGCAAGCCAAGCCCCCTTTGGAAGCGCAGGGTAATGAATGGGCTCTGCGAAGCAATGGCAAGATTGCTGACGCTTCATTGGGCACATGGCCAGGAAAGTGGGGAATGGCAAAACAGAAAGGAAGGCATAGCATAGCATCATACAAGAGCACTGCGAAGAACACAGCGGGGACAGAAGAGCAACACCGCGGGAAGCACCAAGAAAGACCAGAAGAGTGTTGGATTCAATACCGGGCCCGAAGGGCCACGCTGCGGCGCGCAACAAAGAAAACAACAAGAGTGAATAAGGCCCTCGAGGACCACTCAGAAGCCAAAAGGGCCGGGAACGCTGCAAGACAGACTCAGAGAAGGAAGACGCAAGGACCACACGGCGACCAGACCGGGGCCAGAAATAAAGAAACGCGACATGGAATATTAACGATGAGAAGATTGCGGAAGCACATCGGCCGCCAACTAGGGCCACACGGGAGCCAGAAGGCCACACCGGGGCCAGCATCAGAAGCCAGTAGGACTACATCAGCCGTCAGCAAAGAAGCAGACAGGCCAGCAACACAGAACTTGACAAGGCGGTATGCAAAGGCCGCGTGGGCGCCAGAACGGCCACGCCGCGACCAGCAACAAAGCACGACGAGAAAGAAGAAGGATGAAGAAAGGTGAAGACCAGCAACAAAAATGCAAAGGGGTGCCAGGGGCCACACCCAGGCGAAGAATGTGTAACTTGGCCACAGGGGCACTGGGGCCAGGGCACTCTCGCCCGAGAGCGATCCTCGTCGGGGGATAAGGAGGCCCCTCTTAGTGCCGCCCCAGGGGTCCATACCCTCCCTGACATCCCACTGGACGATCCCATTTGGCCCCCGGGGACATGCAATGAACTATATGGATGCCTGCGTCACCACAGACTGAGACAAAAGCTGCACAAAGCACCCGAAGAATCCAAGAACCTCGCGATTACAGATCACGACCTCTGATCTCTAGTTGGCATGGTTTATGATTAAGACTAAGTGGTACACCGTGACAGGAGATGTTTGGGAATTGCTTTCGCCATGTCGCTTTGCCTCATTGGATCGTGCCTTACTTCATTCTGAATTGGCTCAGCAACAAGTTGCTTGTGGATGTACGGCATTTCGTGGTTGAGATGATGGCTGTGACAACTGACGGATCTCTACTTTGGCAGACCCCTGCTTGTGACGGTGAGGACGCCACTTGAATTCAGCGGTCCTTATCATTGCACTTCTTGCTAGCCATTTCGATTATGTGGCTTATATTATATCTGTCACACATGCCTTGGAGGACAAGACTATGACAACGCATGCTTCTGTTTCATCCCTGACTGTGATGGCACTCTGCGTGGAAGGGCACGTGCAAGTTGCCCTTGCATGAATGTCATTGCACTTGTGTCTGCCCGAATCAGATAGGGTAACTTTAATTGGCTTAGTAGCCATTTGCAGTTGCTGCCACATGCGCTTGACAGGAAGGAGTCAGGAGGCAAATTGGGCTGATTTTGCACAAGCATCATCAGGTGCCAGTGGGACAGCAATAGAGGACAAACGTACCGTTTGGGTGAGCCAGCTAAGGGCCTGCAACACTTGAGCCTTGAGGCGGCAACCGGCAGCCGTTTTCCTCCGTGCCTTGTTTTAATCCGTTTGTTGGCCTACGTTGGCCCTGCCGGCCGTTAATGTTTTCCAGTAGATGCAAGGAAGTCGGCAGCGGCAACCACTGACGACTGCCTGCTTTGACTTGTGCTTTGCTGTGTCGAACCCTGCTCACCATGAGCAGGTGTAATCTGTTGGACACACGGGCCTGCGCTGCAGCTGGCCCTGTGCTTGTGAGACCGTGTGTGATATGATTGAGACTAGGGCGGTATCTGATCGTCTTCGATCCCCTAACTTTCGTTCTTGATCAATGAAGACATCCTTGGCAAATACTTTCGCAGTAGTCCATCTTCAACAAATCCAAGAATTCTGACAGTTAAATACAAATGCCCCCAACTATCCCTATCAATCATGACCCCAGCTCTAGAAACCAACAAAATAGAACTGAGGTCACTGAGGTCCTATCTTCTTATTCCATGCTAGTGTATTCAAAGCGCACGCTTGCTTGAAACACTCTAATTTCTTCAAGGTAAATTTCCCAAAGACCGCATCATTCAGGAAGATGGCAAGGCTGAGCCAGATGCACACCCAGAGGGTGGAGACATACTTAGACATACTACGCTGAGGATCACCCACCGGCTCGTGAGCGTCCAAGCAACAACAACAAATGCTTAGCAAAAAGAACAATCTCAAATTACGAAAGTCTCTGATGTAGATCAATCCCAAGGTAAAAACGCTTTCTGTGGATGACCTGGGAACACAAATCAAACTATCTAATCGCATTGTGTATATATATATATACATATTAAAAAAAAAAAACATGTCTATTGCAAATCCCTGCGGAAACTTTGGTCCTGTTCGAATGGTTAAGTAGGCCACTCACCTTGCCTTAGGCATTCACGGTGCAAGCACTGAAAATCCAAGAGAGCTGCGGCAGCTGTGGACGGTTCCAGACTTTGAGAATGGCGCTGCTACAGAAAAAAATGATGCGTTCAAAGCAACCCGAATAAAGTTTTCTTTGCCGAAACACAAATGCAGTATGGATCCGACTTGCCAGATAGCCATCCATCATCTGCGTTGCGTAAACCTTTCGCACTGATGATGCTCACTTCTATCTCCATTGCTCGGCGCTGACGGCAAGGCCCTTGAACATCTCTGTACAAGCTGTGCAAGTGCAAATGCCACCCAGGCGCGGAACTTGTGCATTTTTTCTTGGTCGGTGAACCTCAATTTGTTTGAGTTAAAGTAGATGTGGTTTTGAAGTTTTAAATCAGAAAGAGTCTCATCATATTGATGTTCAAGTCCAGCTTCGGAAGTATACTTGACAACAATTCTGAAGCCCAAAAGAGCTCAGAGGCAGAACCAATTGCACAAGGACTCAAAAGGCATATTGTGGGCTGCATTCTTGATAAAATAAGCAAAACGAAGTCTTTGGTTTGCCACGCTCTCAGCATGAATGGAAAGTTTAAAGATTTGAAGAAAACATCAATGGCTTCGGTGAAAGGAGCACCCCAACATATCCCAACGCTTCGTTCGGCACCTGCGATGGTTTTCACGAGTCGATTAGCACCAGCTCAATGAAAAGCCAAGTCCTCCCAAAAATTCAACTAAGGAAAAAAAGGAATCAAAGGTAAAGCACCAAAAAGTAAAAGCTGAAGTCAAACTGCCACTGAATTTGGTCAGCAGGAAAATCACTCTAGCTACAGTCTTGACTGTAGTAAAGATTTCAGTCAGTTTTTCTGTGCTGTGCTATGTCACCTCCTCTGAGACAACGGTATAACCAGTGTATAACCAGTGTATAACCTCCCACAACATTGTGACATCGAGTGCTGAGGAATGAGTAGTGCAGACTAGTGCAACTAGCAACTGTGTCAGCATTTCCATGCCTGTGATGTCTGCAACAGCTCTCCAGGAGTAGATCCACAAGAGGGAATTCACCTTTGGACCTATTCGGCTGACAATTCCACAGGTGCCGAACTCTCCGAAAAAAAACGCACAAACATACAAAAAACGTGTAAAATGAACAAATCCGCCCGCACCGAAGGTGCTGGGGCGTGATCGTCCGGATGGCACTCGTAAAAGGTTACAGGTTTACCTGGGGGGGGGGGGCCATTATTCGGCCAAAACCTCCTGTTTTTGATAGGTCGTGACGCTCGCCTTCAAAAAACACTGTAAAAAACAGTACGGAAGACACCTGTTCGTGAACGCGCCCGTCCAAAATCGGCAAGCGAAAAGTGTAAAAACCCTGTGTTTTTCAACTTTTTGACCTCAATTTTTTGGTTTGCAACATCTTTTTTTGCGGTTCCGCAGGTGGCCTGGCCCGGAGGCGGATTTTTGAGTTTTTGGACCCGTTTTCGGACTGATTTTCGTCGTTTTGTGATAGCAGAAACACTGGTTTTTACAGTGTTTTTCTGTTTTCTGCATGCTTGACGGCTAGCTTCAAAACTTCCAAAAACCTCGTAAATTACGCTGTTTTATGTTACGGTGTGAATGAAAACATCGTAAATACCAGTGTTTTTTGACGTTGGTTAAAAAAACACTGTAAATTACAGTGTTTTTGGCCACCTGACCTTCAAAAACCATGGTATTTGCAGTGGTTTCTGCTTCTCACCGCGCAAAAACACTGTAAATAACAGCAATTTCGCCGCTTTTCATGTTTTTCGCTATTTTTTGAACTGCGTTGGTCCGCTATACATGGCTATCAAATTCTTCGCGTTTTTTTTCCGACAATCAGTACTTTCGGATGTTTTTGGTCTCAATGGCCGACATCATTGGCAGTTACGAGCGGTCGCGAAGGTGTGAGAACAACATCGTTCAAACCGTGGCGGCCGCACAGGGGTTCTTGTCGCGGAGCGACGGCAATAGGAGAGAACAATGGCAGTAGAAGAGAACAATGGCTGACATCATTAACAGTGTGGACCGTTCACTCGATATGTACATATATGATCTTTATATATATAGATATATCTCTGCTGTGTGAGCCCAACGATGCGGTGCGGGCGGTTGCCGTCGCGAAGCGACGTGAATACAATCATGATTGTTCCTTGCGTCTGGGATTCAATGCTTTTTTGTAATCAACGCAATACCACCCTCAACAGCATCCTGCAAAAAGAGGCCCTGTGGAAAGTTTTCTTGTACAGCACAAAAAATTCAAAACATTTCAGTAGAATCTAACCACTGGTTTGCATGTGTTGAAAGGGAAAAGACCCCAAGTCTCCGAGGAAGAGAATCTTGTGCTTGTGAGTAGAATGCAATTTTTTCATGCAGGTTCAACGGTTCAACTTCCCTTGGGCTTTGGCTGAATTCTCTCTTTGAATTTGCCCAGCAGCTGAACCTCGGCATGGTTCAGCTATCACTGCAGGACGCTCTCATTATGTTCTTCCTTGGTGTCACTTTGCCAGCCCATCTTGATCCATCTTGCACATTTTACACCAGCTTTTGCCACATCCGTCACGCGGAAGGACCGAAAAAGACTCGGTCCAAGCCACTTCACATTCTGTGACAGCTCGTAGACAAAACGCCGGGGGAGGGGGACTTTCTTGTGAAGTGTTGGATTTCCGGATTGAACGCTTCTTTGCGAATCCATCCGGAGCTTCGAAGGAAATTCATCATTTCCTGTGGTACTGCAAAAATTGCAGTAGAGAAAATGCGCGGCAGCTCCCGTGTGTCAACCCGGGGTCCCAATGTGAGCCACTCTCCGGAGCTTCACTCGACTCAGGGTCATCCGGCTTTGCCTGAACTGATACAAAGCCATCTTAAAGTGTGCAGCATCACAAACCACTGCCATCCTCAAACAGTTGCAAGAGATCTGTGTTGAATCCCCTTAGAATGCAGTCAGGAGGCGTGCAACAATTGCATTGTAGTGTATTGGCCTAAGATCAACCGCGTTTCATGAATCAACTGCATTTATTCAACAAGTAGTCGGTGCCGTTCGATAGTGAAGCAAAGCTACGAGATGTAGGCAAGAAAAATCTGCTTCCTGACACACACACAAAAAAAAAAAAAAATCTGGAAAGCCGTTTGTTACATATCTATATATATACATACACACATATCATATATATATATATGTATATGTACACACATATCATATAGATATAGATATATATATATATATATTGTACATGGATCGAAAAAGGCAACCCGAGCAGTGCCCTGTTCCAAACGGTTGGAATCACAGCACAAAGCGACGTCTCGTGTTTAAAAGAAAGCACGGACCAAGTTTGCATATCAGTTCAATTGTGTTGCAAACCAAATTGTATGAATCAAAGTATATACTGTTGAAGCTGCAGAACTGAATGAAGTCTGACCGGTCTGAAAATCAAGAGCCTCGCATTATCTTTCTGTGCAGCTTCAATCATGGCGGATCGAACCCCCCTTAGGTGGAACCCCAGGTGTAGGTGTTTTGGTGTCATTTCAAATAGCATCTAATAGCTACTGACAGATGTTATTAGTAATAGCCATTATTGGCAGCTATTAAGGTCCAACATAATTAAGCACAAATAAGGCCACATAGAAAAGAATAAGAGTTGAGTATCTTATGGATAAGAATTTTGGTTGAATAAGAGAAAATGGTCCCGTTGAATAAGGAGCCCATGAACCCCTCCGAACACTAGGGAGTTTCCACCGTTCCGGGGGTTCGATGATCCATGATTCAAGGCCCTGGATGACTGGAAACAGCAAAACCAATATTGGTGTCGCATTACCAAATGGTGTTCTGCGCAGTTCCATGGAGGAAGTTTTCGGCTTCACATGTGATGCTTCCTTTCTGATTTTCGAGCTGAAGGGGGTGTTGAGCGATTTGAGTTGGAGGCATTGAGGTGGGGAAAATCATTGCATCATGTTTCATTTCTCCACAAAGGCGAGGATGGTTTAAAAAAACACACAGCAATGTAAGAGCATTATTTTCCCCAACGGCTACAAAATGTATAATATTGCATAATATTACATGATACAAGAAGAAGGCCAACTTCCAACAATTCCCACAAAACCGGCGTCCTTGGTTTTGGCATATCCATGCCCTTGGGGCAAACTGCAATCGCAGGATCCACTTCTGTGTTTTCTGGTTCGTAGACCAAGTGCCTGTGACAGCGTCATGACACAACTCTGAAATCATTTTGGTTCTGTAGCTCCGCATGAGCCCTGCTAAATTTTCTCTGAGCTAAAGCTTAACCGAGTCAAGATACCAATTCTTCGGCTCAGAAGTGACAACCTGAAGTGCAGAATACATTTACAACTCAAAACTCTGCACGTGTTGCAAAAACACCCAGGTCATTGTGATATATTGTGTCAAAAAGACACTGAGCAGCTGACATGCGCAATGCACCCATAGGCTTCAACAACAGCCCGAAGAGTCAGTTCGTCTCCCCAGGTGCCAGAGATTGACATGTTCTTCAAATACTTCTGGAACTCTGCCTGCCACCAAAGTGCAAATTGCTTACAAAGGCAAGCTGCAGCCGAACAGCAAGGCTATGCAAAAACGATGTACTGTAGCACCTCATCCTCAAAGAAAACGCCAAAGAAGTCAGCATGCTTCCTGAAATTGGTGGTGCACACAGCAGCTGGCAACTTGTTGGAGCTTCGGTAATTGATTGGCACAGGATGGCACAGGTTCATTCAGTCTATTCTTGCATCTTGTTTTCTAAAAATCTGCTGGTGCAGGCCAAAGTGTAAACTTGTAGGGACTTGTAGGCACTTGTAGGCACTTGATACTCTGTTGATACTCTGTTGAAACGAGGATCTTCATGTGTGCCACCGCTGCTCTTCGAGGAGCAGCATGATGGTCCTCACGGTGCGGAAGAAGTTGAACAGTGTGCCTGGCTACATCACCTTTGATTCAAGCCAGAAGAAAGCTGTACCAATATAGTATAGTCTCAGCATGTCTTCGTATAGTATAGTATAATGTGTTCCGTTTTTGCTAAAACTAATAGATATATTCGGGAAGTTGTGTAAACTTGCCTGACTCCTGAAGAGATTGAAAGCGATCGTTCGGAACCTTCGCGGCTCGCATAGCGAACTGGAAGCTCTGCATGTTTGGATGCTTGGGCCAGAAAAATGTTGGGCTTTGGACAATTTTGTGAAACATACTGCAACATACTGCAACTATTTTGTGAAACATGGCAACTCTCAGCCACGCAGCTGGCAATTGCCATCACCAGCCATTTCCACCATCTGCCTTGGATTCTGCTGACGCTACGGTACAACTTCATGATCATCAAAACAGCTGGATCATTGCAGCAGGCATTGCAGCATGTCCGATCCTATCAAATCTATCAAGGACAAGCCAGGAAATCCCAAACCAATGGTCTGCATGCAAACTGCAAACCCATTCAAACCTCGCCACATGCCAAAAGTCTGAAGACGTTGTTCGAGGCTAGCTCCTTGTAAGCCTGCAGTCAATTTTTTGGAACCAAACCAAGATATGGTAAGACATGACAAGCTATGGTAAGGTATCTCAAGAGCCCTGTATACTCGTGTGGAATCGTGATTGTTACAGGACATCAAACAAATCCGTCCTTCTTTTGGAGCTGCTTCTGTGACATCTTCAATCATCTGGTTTCTCTTCATGGTACCCATTCTTGACATACGCAATGACGTTGAAATTCGCTGAAATCCAGTTCGCATCTCGGACGATGAAAATAAGCTCCCTCGGCCCTCAGACTGTTCTTGAAGAGCAGTTCGAGTATTTCTCCTTGCGTCTTGAAACCAAGAAAGGCAAGAAAACCCTTGGCCAACTTTTCAAAGTAGCAAATCTCTAAGTGCCTTAGGTCTACTTGTATAGCATTCACAAGCGCATGTGAAATTGTGAAATTGAAACAATTTGAAAGAGCTTGTGATAAAGAACTGCTGCATGTTTCTGCACAGTCTCCGAACCATCTGACTCATGTTGCTGGACGCCACCGCAGCCTCGGTGGGAAGCTCAAACCCAAAACGGCCAAAACCCTATCACAACGCAAAAGGAACAAAGGAGCAAAGGAGCACTGCAGATGCAGAAAGTACCCATCTGATCCCATTCCCATCTGTACCCAACCTCAGCTCGTTGATTTCGAACTACCTGAGAAAAAAATGACAAAGGAATGAACTGAGGTAGGGTGATTATGGCTGGGATGGTGGTGAAGGCCCGCAATAATCAGCACCCATGACAGTTTTGAAGATGAAAAACAATCGAAAATACAAAACAAATGAACATAGATAACATAGGAATAAAAATTAAAATAAAAAAAAAAATCGATCCAACGTCTTCGTGATCAGAATGTCACAATAGCACTTCAAGAGAAAACCAGTCATACCCCCCTAGGGTTAGCAAAGCTGTGTATTTGCAGCGCATTGGCCTTTCCAACAAAGCAAGTTTAAATCTGCATCAACTTTGGCCACGCCTCCAAATCCACTTGTCGGCTGTTCACCACAAACGTATCTTCTTTGGCCCCATCCTGGAATCCATGCTGGTTCATCCTGCTTAGTCATGCTTAGTCATGTTTCAGCAACATGAACACTAATTGAATGCTGCGGACATCTGACTCAAGCTGCATCCCGCAAATTGCACCTGAAATCTGGATGCCAAGTCCACTGAAGCAAAGGAGTTGCCCGAATCTCCTGCACTTGGTCCAAAAAATAGGGAATCAATGACATTTGTTTACGGAAGTTCCTCGCACCACATTATGCATTTACCAATGGGGAATACGCGGTCATTCACATGCTGCTCCTACTCTATGCATGCATTTGCTCAAGAGTGCTTGCAGTTTCTTCGAAGGCGGTTTTGCTTAGACTTTGATCGAAGTCGTTGTTGGTGTTAGAGCAATTGAACTTGCAAATTTACAGATGTGGAGCACTAATGGTATGATGTAAGTACGGTGACGAAGCACTGGAAATTATGTTGAAGATCCATTAAGATCGTTGATGTCCAATGTGGCAAGTTCTTCACACACTTTGAAAGTTCAGTACAAAGTCGTGCGTTCCCAAGACCATTGCTTGCCATTTGCTTGACAGAGAGAAGTCAGGAAACGTGCAAAATGTTCAAAAATGCGCTGCATTTTCCCAACCACATTTTTTGATCCCATTGAGTCCCTTCCAAATGTCAGGCCTCTAAGCTGAAGTTGAGGTCCAACAGCATCTTGTGTGGAGCACTGGCCCATAGCTATGACGAGGGCAAAGCAAAAGGGAGAAGCAAAGGCAGACCCAGTGAGTATGATGATCTATGATGCCAGTCCCACAGCATTCCTTCTAAGCGAATCTGAAAATATGTTCTTTTCATGCATGTTGCATTCAAAGTCGCTTCGCATAATTTGTGCAAAATAACAAAATGTATGCCTCAGCAAGTGGTTTTGACGAGTTGAAGGCTACATCTACGTTTCATCTGTGACCCAAAATGGCCCGAGCAGCGAGCATGTAGAGTATCCAAGAATGTTGTTGCTTTTGCACTGTCGGCTATCGCCTTAGATTCTTGAGAAAGCAAACCCAAGTGTTGGGCGTGTCCGGCCAGCTCGTTTTGCAACAAGTGCACCTCCAACGCTTTCGCCAAATCCACGGCAGCACAAGTTCTGATTAATTGAGCGCCTGCTTGTGGATCTGCTCAAATGGTCCTGAGTCCCAGAACGTTCCAATAAAACAACCGAAATCATACAGTCATACTCAACACTGCAAACCAAATGAAAGCTGACAACAAAACATACACATAAAATTCATAAAATTGGGTGGCTAGGCGGTTAGGCAAAATTCACCAGTCACATGTTTGAAGTCTGTCCCATTTTTGGGTCTCTAAGCACATCTTTGGATCCAATCACAGACCACCTGTGACCACCTGTGACCACCTGTGACCACCTGTGACCACCTGTGAACGAAGACAATTCAATACCGCGCGAATTCTTTTTACATGGTAACGGCAACACATATGTGTAATCTGTCTGTGTACATGTGACATGTGTTTTTGATCTGTCTGTGTACATGTGTTTTTTCTTGTCCATTCGCAATCCGAACCTGATGAGCACCATCGCAGAACCCCAAGTTTGTTCAATGGCGATCTTCCCGGCTTCGTAGCCAAACAATTTTTGAAGGATTTGTGTTTTTTCGAAGGCCATTTCACATTTGTGCCTGCAAATTTCATTTTTGCCATGGAATAAAACCAAAAACACAAATTTGATTCGGAACCAAAAAATGAGTCATTTGATTCATTCAAATATGCAATCCCAATTGATATGTAAGCGCTAGCAACAGTCGCCCTTAAGTTTGCAAACAACATCATTTTGAATATGTTGTGACCATCCGGACTGGTCAAAGGATCAGTTAGGAAGACTTTTTGGATCACTTAGAACGACATTCAGGGATGTGTAGTTCAACCTGTAGGGTTAACTCCATTCGATACACACCTTCAGGTTAATCTTTAGGGGGGACAGGGGACTGGGGAAAAAATGTAAAAAACCACAGTTCATAGAAGTTTTTTAATTTCAATTATAACAGTCTAAACACAGATTTTTAATATTGTTGATTACTTCATTTTTTCAACAATATCAAAGCTATAATGAAAATAAAAACGGTCAAGGCATAATTACCTCATTCATTTTTTCAAAATCATCACTACTAACCATATACTACCTCTTTCATTTCTATAAATCATAAAAGTCAATACATAACTACCTCATTCATTTTTATTAAAACCTAACTACTGACCATTATTTAAGTTTTTTTGATGCTTCTCTGTTTTCTTATGCGTATAGTAATTTGTTTGGGTCATTGAACAATTACAAACAGAACAACTAACAATTTTAGATTGAAATGTGTTTTTTTGTCCTGCTTCATTTTTCTATATTCCTCATCTTCTTCATATATTTTTCTTTGAACCTCATTTCGTTTATGTTTATGTTTGTGATAACTGGTTCTTTTATCTGACAAGCACATTTTACAAGTTTTTAACCCTTCATCAAAATTATCAATGTCCATAGTTTTTTCACAAGTTTTACAGGTTTTATCATCCATGTATCTTAAAACAGTCATTTTCTTAAATATGTTTTCAGACTTTTTGATATTTTTCGTGCATAGAAAATCACATCATGACCTCATCCATTCCATACCCCAAACAAAAACAAAAAAACATCAAGATAAAAAAACAAAACAACAAACCATAATAAAGACAATTTCCTCACCTTTAATAATCCTATCTTAATAATCCATAAATCTAATAAATAGCATTATTAGAATTATGTTAGTAGTAAATGACTTCAATAATTATTAATATAAAATGAAATGTTTGTATTCCTATGATAGTATCTTTATCTCGGTCTTCATCTATATCTTCCTGTAAATTTTCAACTGTTTTCTCTAATATTGTATCTATATTATTTTCATCTAAATATTCATCAAAGAGTCATTCATAAAATAAATTTCTCTAAAACTAAATTCATTTTCTCCATATTCCTTTTCTGGGAGTTTTGCCACTAATTGAACCTCAATATCAAGTTTAACTCTATAATTTAAATCATTTTCTACTTTTTCATAAATTAAAGATGATAATTTTTCTTGTTCTTCTGTTATTATGTCTTCTAAACTTTTCAAACTAAATGGCACTCCCTCTCTCACAATACAGTATTCAATTATATATATTTTTTTCTTGATTTCAAATGTCTTGTTATTTTCGGACCAAGTCTTGAAATCTTATATTTGTTTTGTATTCTCTTTAATGCCTCAATATGATTATACTTAATTTTCAAATATTTAGGGTCTCCAATTTTATAAGAAACAATTTTACTCAACACATCAACAGGTAAATCCTTCACACAATCCATCCTACTAGTATACTTAAATAACTATTTTTTAAGCATATATTCAAAGATTAAAATAGGCATTTTTTTTAAAAACTACTTAAAGATAAATTGACTAAATAAAAAATATAGTGTTATATGATGAAAAAAATTATAGACTATCTATTGAGTAATGATTTAGCAGAAATACCAAAAAAAGGAAGAAAATAATTAAAGTCAATAATAATAGATGATAAGACATTCAGATACAACAAAGACAAACCCATATCAAATGTGTTAACAAAGAAATTATTATCAGTAAAGAAAACTAATGAATACAGAAGTTATGTTTTAAACAAGGCAAAGGGTGCTTTCAATGAAGGGAAAGTAAGACAAATCCTGACTAGACACGCAATAAGAAACAAATTCAGGGTCAGAGATGTTCAATCAGCATTTAGAAGATATGCTAATTCAATAGTTTTAGAAAATAAACACTTTGAAGGGGGAAGAGGTTTACAAATGATTGCGCACCAAAAACAAAGACTATTAGAATTTCTTTAAAAAAATAGAAGCATGAAACTTAACATAAGAACGGAAGGGTTGTTTGAAAAACCTGAATATGATGATGGAGGAAATGAAATTGGCAGTCAGGAACTTGTATATGTTTTACCTTAAACACGCTTTAATATTAGTAATGAAGATGAACTGACACAAGCATTAGAAGATAGTGTTAAACAACCCGCCGGGTTGGAAATGGGCCGAGTAAAAACAGCATTTTCATGTGACTGGCAAGAAGTCAATCATGCGTTTCGCAGTGTTTTTTCATGTTTCTACGTTGCCCATGAAGGTCAATTCTATTGTGATTTTGAATTTTCATTGGGATTTACTGTATATAGTTGACATGTCGGAGTGCGAAAAAGGTTCCTTTTGGGAAGTCAGCGTGCCCAAAACCTCAGCGGCAGCCATTTTTCCGGTGATCTCTACATCTTCGCTAAGCACGCACCTGTTTTCTCCAACAGCGCTTTTCCAACTACATTTGCCTCCCATCGCCACTGCCATGTGCGAACGTACGTCCAAATGAGGTCATTCAATTTTTGTTCGTTTTCTGGGCAAGATGTCAACTGATCGGGAACACTGGCAAGTACGTGAACGTTATTACCCCACCCCACCCCACCCTAAGGAACATATATAAAAAGGCCTAAAACGCTCGGACGGTTTTCAACCCGTAGGTTTAAACAAATCTTATTACAAATACAAAATTTAGAAGCATCAACCTCTAATTTACGCTTTTGGTTTAATAAATTTTTCCCTTAACCATTCATTATGACAAATATGACCCAACAAGAGCAGGGAGATACGTAGAACCACCAGAATGGATTAAATTAAAAAAGGCATGTATCAACATTAAAAACAAAGACCAAAAATGTTTTAGATATTGTATTCAATCGGTAGTCTATGACAAAATAAGCTAACATCACCCAGAGGAAATGTTCCACTATAATAAATTGAAAGATGATATTTTGAACTGGGATGGTGTCAATTTTCCAACTGGTAATAGAGACATAGACAGATTTGAAGAAAACAATAAATTAGTTTCAATAAATGTTTTTGAACCTGATGACTGCTTAAATGATAATAAAATCATATTACACAGAGGCACTAAAAATAGAAATGCTAAGTATGAGATTGATTTGTTAAAGGTCTATGATGAAGACAATAATTGACTACGCCTTGGTTAGGAACAAAAGCAGATTATTAAACTGTCAAAGCAACAAGGATGATAGTAAAAAACATTATTGCCATCATTGTTTAAATCCTTTCTCAACAGAGAAGGCATATAAGAACCATCTTGAAAAAGGATGCATGGCATCAGAAGGACAACAAACAAAGATGCCCGATAAAGACACTTAAATAGAATTTGAAAAGCATAATACTAAATTGCCTTGTCCTGTTGTAATCTATGGTGATTTTGAATGTCTAACCACTAACTCCAATACTGGAATAAAAGGCACATATCAGGAGCATAAACCATGCGGTTATATGTTGAATGTAGTAAGCAGGATTGATAATACATGCCAACCATACTTATACAGAGGTGAGGATTGTATGAAAAAGTTTGTTGAACAACTGACCGAAATTAAGAAAGATAAATTTGAAAAAATGAATGTCAATAAACCAATGGATGAATTGACTTACGAACAAAAGACAGAATTTGATCAAGCAACCCACTGCTCTATATGTAATAAGAAATTTCAACCTGATGATACAAAAGTCCAAGACCACTGCCACTTCACAGGCAAATACAGAGGCGCAGCGCATGTAAAGTGTAATCTGGATTATTCATTTAGATATCTTAAAATCCCTATCTTCTTTCATAATCTCAAAAACTACGACGCTCACAT